TGTGTGTGTGTGTGTTTTCACACGTGTTGATTTGTAGAACAGACAGGGTTTGTGGTGAAAAAACACAGAACAGGACATGCCTGGAGCTCCAATCAGATTCCCTCAGCTTCTCTGAAAAGTTGACGTTGACTCTCTCATTTTTCCTCTGCTCCCTCTTCTTTGCACTAAGTCGAGTTGATTGTGGCAAAAATCCTGAATTATATTTGGCTTTGCATCCTAAAAATATCTAAGAGTTTTACGGAAACCATGAGGAAAATCTATGAAAACAGGAGGTTTGAGGTCATGTTACACAGCACATCCATTAACGGTAATTACAGAAGCAGCCAAGCACACAGTACAACGCTATTAAAGCATGTTAGACCAGTAGGTGGTGATGAGTGTAATCAGCCTGTCACATCAGGACACCAAAGAACAACACTGTGCAGACACTGAGTATCTCTATACTAGTGAAATAATAGAGAACAGCTAGTTAAGTTAAGTGTAAATATGCAAATAAACCTAGTATGCAACAGACGTATGAGGGTAGCCAGTGTGTTATGGATGTTTTCTCCCCTGTTGAAGTCCCCAGTTTGGAATCAATTGAGTTCTTCTTTCTTCTTCATGAACCTAAAAGTTTTGTATCTGTTGAAGACTCATTTCTCTCAGATTTTTCTCCTCACTCGTTGAATGATGAAATCGACCATTTGTGGCTTTTGGCTTGAACTTCATTCCTCTCCCACTCCACTAAAAGTGGAGCAGTAGTGTAGAACAGCAGGCCAGCTCACAGTCACATGTTAATCTGTTGCATTCTTGCTGACTGTGCGCTCATGTTGGCTCCAACTGTCAACATCTGGCCTTAGACTGGTTGCCATGGTTGCAGGCTGTGACTGACGGCAGCTAAACATTCTTCATTGACAGAGTTGTTTGTAAGGTCTTCCTCTTCCTGGGTTGTGTGTTTGTGTGTGTTGCACTGATTTGTTTTGCAGATTCCCCCTGTGTTCCCTTCTCCTCCTCCTCCTGCACTCGCTCACTCTTTCCTTCCTGCTTTTTTTCTCTCACAGCACCCTGTCAAACCGAGCTGGTCTGGCCTCAAACCACCCCCGTCTCTTCTCCAGCTGCAGTCGTCTGTGTGTCAGATATAATGTGCTGTAATTCTGCTGCAGACAAATGGAAACTGATGTCTCTTACTGCGTTAACATCTGTTAAAATTGTTTTAAAAAAAAAATATCAACGACTGCACCAGAGTCATAGTCTGCTTCATTTACTCCATGCGCTCTTTCAATAGCAGGAACTTTTCCCAGAGTCTAGAAACCTTTGAAGGAACAGGTGTTGATTTAATTTCTGGAATAGTTGAGAACTTTTAGGTGGGACTCCCAGGGCTGAAAAATTCTGATTGGCCAGTGTTACATTTTATTTCAGCCTTTATTTTGCAAAAATTTGTACGTTTCTTTTTTTTTTGTTTTGTTTCCCATTTCCAGAACATTTCTATTGCATTTGAATCTTGTGAATGTTTTGTTGGATTCACAGCATTTTTTTAGCCTGGCTGGGCCATCGTTTATATCCGACGTCTTCTGCGTATCTTAACGATTTCTGCCGACTTTGCAAAGTCAACTGCAGAATTAACGGCGTTCTGTATGAACGGCGCTTTGAAAAGTCCCGCAGCATGTGTTAGACGTCACCATCTACACATGGACCAATCAGGGGCTGCCTTTCCCTGTTGTCCGGGTAACAGTGGAAACACGGTCTCTGATTGGCCCGGTTATTTTCTGACCGGGAATACACGCTCCCAATGGGCCGAAGTCCAGACTGTTGTGGGAAGGAACGGCAAGTGATTGACGCAACAGAATGGCCCAGCCAGGCTAGCATTTTTTAACTTTGGTGCATCTTTTTGCTAATAGAAATCTTTTGACCACAACATTTTTGTTTTGGTTTGTGTTCATTTTTGAGGCCTTGAAGCAAAAGAAAATCCTGTGCCTGAAAAATTTTTGATGGGGGGGGCTGACACTATATGACAGTGGAGCTTTTGATTAAAGTTAGAAGATATTAATGATTCATAACAATAAAAAAATCACCAAAATTATAAAAGGGCACATTTTCCTAAAACAGCTGTTGTAGTATGAAGAGTCCCTTGGTGTGTGTGGTGATTTTGGGGTCTGTACTGTATAACAGTGGAGCTATTGATTTTTGTTTGCAGCGTCTTGCTCTTGTATCCTGATTTGCTGACGATCCCTGCACACTCACCTGGCTACCGACTGTGCATAGAGATCAGTATTATTCATCCAGCTCGAAGAACGACTTGTTTTTGATTCTTGTAGCTAGTAGTCTTTGCTATTTCGACGTAAAAGAGCCATCGTTTGTGTTTAGACAACATTTCGTCTCCAAGTTATGGATCCCAAAAGTCAGAATCTGTAAATATCTTTCCAACTTTACCGAACTTTTTCCCACTGCTTCCATTTTTAAGCTTTCCAGCGCACGACACACAAAAACAAGCAACTGGCTCTTTCAGTTTGCGGCACCAGCTAACATGAGGCTTTCCATCTTTTCCAGCCTCTTCCGTCCAAGCCCAGCATCCAATATCGCCATTTCTTCTCCTGGATTGATGTACCTGGCATCCGTCGTTTGAAATTTGCTTTTCGCCGCTCGCTGATGAGTTTTTTCTTCTCCTGCTTCTTCTTCTCTGGCAGGATGTACGCTACCCAGCATAATGTTGTCCTCTACCAATCATATTCAGATCCAGAGGTTGCAGATTGGCAGAAGCTTTTTTGCAGTATTTCAACTAAAGCTCTTTGACTTTATTTTCCAGTAATTTGATATGATTGATGCATGTGAAAGTGTCCTGCAGCATGAGGCTGGACCTAAAATGGCTAATGGAGACGTAATTATGGATGTGTTATCTGTTGATTGTTGTAAAGTAGTTCCTGGAACCAGTACAAGATCTGGGTATTATTGGTGGAAACATGACCTCTGAATGCTCTTATTGTTTAGGCTCCACCTTTCCCTCTTTTCCCTCCATGCACAAGCAAATATCAGGGTGGAGATGATTGAAACTGAGTAGTTCTGTAGACTTTGTCCTGCCAGAACTTATCTCAAAAACTACCCTTAGGAAAGCGGCAGTAATGGCCGTAATGATGATGAATGATGAAGAGAAACCGTGATGTTCACAGAGGGATTTATGAAGTTAGTCTGAGTGACAAAGGCCAAATCGTATCTTTAGTTTTTGGGCTTTTTTTCCTGATGGATCTCTGAAAAAGAAAACACTTAATCCTACGCATGCATTCCTTCCAAGACCTCACCTCTGAAGGACAACACATCAACAGTAGAGGGTTGTGTTTGCTATGTGTGTGTGTTTGGTGTGTATGTTTCTTGACCTTTCCTCCACTAAGGCTGGTTGGTTCACTGGAGACCATGCAGGAGTCAGATTTGTTTTGGAAAGTCGGCAGAAGAAATTTTCTGTTTCTCCGCTCCCTTCCTTAAACGTCATCACCCTGATGATTCCTGCTGATGCTGATCTCTTCTCGTCTAAAATTAGAAATAACATTATTAAATCTCTTAATGAACCGGGGAATAACACCACTCTGACATGGTTTCCTGTTCACTCTTGTAGTGAATAATGCAGGCGACCTGTAATTCCCCAGAGATAAAGATTGGGTGTAATGAGTGTAACCACAGTTAGATTTGGTTATCCTGTGTTTCTGAGGCTTGATGGGCTTAATTACCCCAACAGTCAGGAAATACCTCACTGAATGAGCTTCCCTTCTGTCACCAACAGCCGTGCACAGCCTCTGTTTTTCTGACTCTTTACCACTACAGTGCAAACACCCTGCAAGGAGGCAAAGAGGCTTTTCCTTTCCCCAAGATTCTACTGTATACACTCTGTCTACATTCCTCTGTTCTCGTCCAAATCTGAACTTTTTTAAAAGATTTCTCTATCTCAAGTGTTTTGCTCTGACTGCAGTCCCTACCAACACACAATCCTAGCCTGGTACTGTCAGAACCATCAGCCTGCTTGTATTCATTTCGCCAGCAGATGGGTCTGGAATCGCTAACATTTAAACAAATCCTCTTAGTGTCAGATATACCGATCCAATCATAGCCCTTTATTTGAAAATGTGGCGAATTATATAAGATGCTAAAAGGACCTAACAAAATCAGGACTTGCAGACCTGAAAATGAGGATAGTTGGCGGTGTAGAGGCTGTGACGGAGGGCAGAGCAGAGATACACACAGCAGGCACAAGGAAGCAATGTGAGCAAGCACTAAACAAACCAAATCCAGCACTTATGTGTTTGTGAAGAGGTGAGAACATGTTTACAAGTTCTGTAGAGTGTATCAAACGTAATTCAGTCAGGATCACTTTAGTCAAAATTAATCATTACAAGCAAACATTTTTACATTGGCTGTATGGCTCTGTTCTGAGAGTTCCCTGCCCTTCCATGTGTTTGCATGGAATGCCAAGGCTATAAGACGGGAGAGCTCCTCCCCTCCCTTTTACGTTACATGAAAAGCCAAGGCAGAGAAAGCCGCAGCAAATAAATTCGATTAAGATAAATAAATGAAAATCCCCCCACAGAACAGAGCAAGCATCAGTGACAATACATATGACGCTGGTAAGATCAGACACAACATAAACAGGAGGAGCTGGGGTTGAGGTGGGTTGCAGAGTTGTTGCAGCAGGCAGAGTAGGCAGGAGAAGCGGTTTAAATAGGGCGCCATTTTGATGTTAGCCAATAGGATGTGAAGAGGGCAATCACCTGAGTCAGCAGATCAGCCGACTGTAGCCTTTAGCTTGACTCCGTGTCCCGCCTGAACCACCGCTATGCTTCATAACAATCAGAAAACAATTTCTTGTTTTTTAGTGTTGCTGCTTCGTCTCTTGACTTTATCTCCATTGCTGGTCAACGGACACTACTCTCTCTCTCTGCTTCAGTTTATAAGCTTTGTAGCCGTTGCAATACATACCATAAAAAATAACGCGCTGTATATTTGAGGAATTGGGGTTAATGAAAATAACAACTGCAACAGGTTGAAAACACATGTCCTTAACTCTCTGGTCTGAAATAAACCTGTGTCTAAAGGCATTCCTGCAGGCTTGTGCTCTTCTGTTGAACTAATTTGGTTCGCAGAGTTTTTCTTTTGCATGCATTTGTATGTTTTTGACTGTGGATTATCTTTACATTTGTAGTCAATTCATCCCAGTGCTTTTCTGTCTGAATTGTACAGCACTTTATCGTCTTTGCATGCATGGACTCCTGTATATGTTGTCAAACAGGATAGTTTCATTACATTTCTGTGTAGTAAACCACTCTGATTTTTCCAGTGAGGTTGCACTTGTTGGTCATAGTTACACTATTATAGACTTTCATGCACAAGCTTTGCAAACAGGGACACACAAAACATATATTTTTGGTTTTAAAGGCAGCTGGACTATTACACTTTTATCGCATACTTTTGCTTATCATATGAAAACTAAGTACAGATGCTGCAGACAATGATGTGAATGCAAAATGCTGTAAAAGGAATGAAATCTGTGCATACAATAAGTGGATGAAAGATGTTGTTTCTTTATCAGCTGCATTTTTTTGGCCAACATAGCAAGAATCCCTGCACCCTCCTGTGCAAGACTTTGCTGTTTATATACTTAATGTCATGGTATGGACAGAGCTGAGTCTAATAACAGTCCTGGAAACACACATCTGAGTGGAGATCTTTAACACTTGAGTCAATGTCATCTCATTCAGGCCACATTCATCACCTAAAACAACTTTTTTTTGCACTGAATGGGCTTGTTTTTGCTTGTTTGAACTGAAAGTTCAGCAAAATTGTCCTCTAAGGCGAGATAATGTCCAGACACCAGTTGACTTACAGCCCTCACAGTTAAACTCCACATAAGTTACTGTTCATGATAAATGTGGGAGTTCAGTGAGGGCAGGAAGCGAGTAGCGTCTTGTTGAGTCTGTGATGGAATTTTTTTTTTCATGTATTTGTGCTGTGAATGATGACGAGATGACAGATCAAGGTTTTCGCATGAGTGTGTCAGTGATAAACTACTCTTCAAGTACAAATTTTTGGTGCATTAAAGTTGCATTTGCTGCAACAAATTCAACCTTCTTCCTCAACTTTTGCATTGTTTGGAGGAGAAGAATAACTGCAGTGAAATTTCGAGTCATTTCCAGACACACTCCTTAAAACCTGCAGATTTTAAGACAGGTTTGAAGTTATTGTCTCTGACTTGCTCGTAAATCAGAGCATGAATGGACAGAGCCGTCTGAGGAAAAGTAAAACAAACTTTTTACTGTTATTGACTCTCTTTTAAACCCACACAGCAGGCTTGTGACTGAGACAAAAGACTCTGAACCCTCTGTCCTCTGTCAAAGAGAGGACTGTGTTTGTCCTGCAGTGGGTTGTAATTATTGGGCTGATTTCACTGATGCCCTGCAGCTCCAGCTCTCCTGGAAATGAAACAGACTCCTTCAGGTCGTTTCAGGATCATAAAAGAGGAGTGTTCGCCCTGAGGAGGGAGTTTTTAGGAGTAGCTCTGCGGGTAAATGCAAAGTGTTGACACAAGTGCTTTTAAGAACCTGCTCACCTTTCGGCTTAAATCACTGCTGTCACTCAGACCTGTGCATCTGTTCAACACAAGAGAGAGAGAGAGTTTTACTGACGTACTGCAAAATATCAGGGTGAAATTAAAGAATATCTGCAGAAAGTTTTAGCTCATCGTTTTGCTTTAGTGATGTTTACTTTCTACTTAAGTCAGCATGAGCTCATCAGCCCAGTTTCCACTGAACAACCACCTAATTTACAATCTTAAGCTCGTCTTGGTTTGCTAAACAAATGGATGCAAATGCAAAAGTCAAGCTCTCTCTGCTCATACAAAATGCAATCGTAGTGTATTGGTGATTTGAGCCACCCTTTTGTTTCTATAGCTACTATACACAAAGTTGTTTTTTACTCATCCTGTGATGAAGACAGGTACATGGAAGATCAAGTAGTAAAAAAAACAAACTGTTATTTACAATTCAAAGCAGTCATGGTTCCTGTACAGAATTTGTCATTGGATCTCTGAGCCAAAAACCAAAACTGTATTTTGAGACAGACTGTAAACATGTTTAATTTTTGGCAAAATGTATAAATTGAAAGTTACAAATGAGTTCACAACGCTGGCGTTACAGAAGAACCACAACACAACTTAGTAACAGAAAGTGCTGATAAGAGGTACTTTGCAGATGAGGACTTGAGCGCTGCCAGTGGAAAAAAAATGCAGTTAGTGTGCACAGGCCCTTAAGCTCATGGTATTCGCTAAACAGCATTGAGTTTCCATGGAAGTTGTTGAAAGCTGGTTGCAAGAAAAGGGGTGATGAGGTAATTATTGGTCAACACCTCTGGACTGAAGTGATTTCAATGTCAGAGTCATTTAATGGTAAACTTTTCGCTGAAGTTTACTTCAAACTTTTACTAGACTCTGCTGTAATTCACACCCATGCTGACATTATCATATCTGCTGCCTTAAAGAACTTTTACCCCTTTTTAAACCAGCATGTTTTGTCTGAATGGTTGCGTTGCTTGGGCTCTTTGGTTTTATCCTGAGTTGTCCTCTCTGTCTGTTTCTTCTCTTGAAGCAACATTTGGAAACAGAGACAGCTGGTTTCGTTAAAGCTGTCTCGGAGAACAATGGTTTACTTTTTGTAGTTTTCTTCCACTAGACACTTATTCTAAGCTGAAAGTTTAATATAAACCTGGTTTATACACCTCTTTTCTGCACATCAGAGTCCAGAAAGAGGCATATCAGACACTTGTGGATGATCACTGAGGTGAAAAACACTTTCCTTTCTTCTTTGTTGCATGTGGGTCAGCAGCATCGAGGCTGTAAACAGTGTAAAAGAGTTGTTTCTGTCAGTGAGGTGAGCTCAGGTGAGGTTTCCCCCCTCAGGGTCCAGTTCCCATAGAAAGAAAGTCTACTCGCATTTTAAATCAGCTTTAATAACAGGGTGCTGCAGGCCTGGAGCTAAACCCTGACCCACCTCTCTAACCCGGCCACAGGGCACGAAGCTCTAAGGAAGGAGAGGGAGGGTGGAGATAGAGGGGGAGAAAACACACTCACTCCTCTAAAACACGTGCTAATAGTGAAAGAAAGGAGTGGACGAGAGAGGTAAAGAAATGCAGAAAAGACAGCTGGCAGGGACAAGTTCATCTGTGGAGTGATGGAGGAGGGTGGAGAGAAGGAGCAAAAAGGGAGGGATGAAGAGATTAAACAGGAGGATGGGAGGTAAAGTGAAAGCAGGAGGAGGGGTGACAGGAGTCAGCATAATGTAGGGAGTAAATTATCAACAAAGGTCTTTGTCTGCAAAAATGAAGTTAACTTTGCTAAAATGCAACATGATTCATCAGGAAGAATCAGAGGAAAATGCTAAATACTCTGCATTGGTATTCAGAGGGACAAAAGGATGAAAGAGGGGAAATGGACAGAGAGACAGATGTGATCCAGACGTCTCAAAGTGACAATATGAGAGAGGAGAAGAGCCCAGTCTGAGGATTTACACCCACTTATATCCAGATTTTATCCTCCAGATTTGTCGTCTGTGAGAATTTTCCTTCCCCTGAACTGTAAATCTGAAGCGCAGTAAATGAAAAGCAGTCTCCCTTCTTCCCTTCTGTGTAGACCCCATCTGTTACATGTGCAGCTTTGCAGTGACTCATCAGTTTGGAAATACTTGGTCACTCTCCCCTCACACTAACAGACCCTTCCCTCTGAGTCAGAACCTTGCAGACCGTTTCTGGGCCACGTAGACGTCCTGCATGATTCACAATAATCGACATGATCTGGATTTAATCTGCCAGCACCGAGGGTGGACTTACTGCATGCAAAAGAAATGAGCTGCAGAAATAAGTCAGTTGCAGAAGTTTCTCTTTGTGTCAGAAACAGACGGTTGAATCTGAACACAGTCATATCTTTAGTTTCTCCTCATTTCAACTCTTCCAGTTTGAGTCAGTCCAGCTCAGAGGAAGTGTTCGCTCAGTTTAGAGGAGCTCAGGGAGAAAAAAGCTGAAGCTGAGCGTCCAGAAGGCTCTGAGCCCAGTGATATCACTGCATTTTTTGCATGAAATGGATGCCAAAACCTTGACATCTAATGATCCATTTATCAGGATCTGTTACAGCTGTATGGGAAGAAAGTTCCTCTTCTTGGAGAATGATACCATACTGACCTAAATCCAAAATGGCTCCACTTCTTCAAGACTTATTTTGAGAAAAAGAGCAAATTCACAGTAATATATAGTAAAATATGTCATTTTAGAGCCCTTATGTCGCATTCTGCCTTATGTGTTTGCCTCCAGTTTTTACTCTTTTTGCCTCCAGTCTCCAGTGTGCAGACTTTGGAGGAGCATGAGCCGAAAGCTTAGACCAGCTTGAGTCTTATTGAGGTCTACACATGAAAAAGAAAATCAAGCTCCAGCCACATTATCCTGACATGTTAGTTGGACTTCAAGGAACTTAATTCAGTGCGATTTCAGTCAAACTAACATGTTTTTAAGTCCAGTTTCAGTCAGATTGAAGCACTAAATCAGTATAAATGCAGTGTCTTTTGTTGCATAGACCGTCAGTGTCTGCCCTCTCAACCATCCAACCGCTGACTATTGTCCTTTTTATTGTGTCTGAGTCTACTTTCACTTCTTGTACAAACTTTAAAATAGAGAGAGAACGTAGGATTCAGTGTTCAAATCTCAACAAATATTCACCACATGAGCAACGTTACCAAAATTTACCGTCAAATGCAGTTAGTATAAATGTGTAAACCCCCAGGGAAACCTGAGAGTAGAAAGTGAGAATGAAGAAGAGCACAATATGACTGTGCAGAGAGATAAATCAGTTACATAACCGTCAGACTTAATTCTGTTGTCACAACAGCTTCTGTTTAGTGTTTTTCCTGCTTCTGAAATCTCACTTTTGTCACCATACAAACATTGTTGATATTGTTCCTTAGTTACCAAATAAGCCAAAAGTCCCCTGCGACTTCTTCCTGTTGAGAAATGAGTCTTTAGAAAACCATCTGACACCTGCTGCTGAACTTTCTGTTCAGCCGCATGAACCTCCGCTGCAATAAATTCAACGCTCTGTCAGCTCCAACACACCCACACGCTCTGCAAACTTCCCATCACAATCACTGGACTGTGAGTGTGTGTGTCCGAGTGTGTGGAAAGTATCTGCTCGGGGAGAGCGGTGATTTCATTCCCTAGGTGGAGATGAGGTTGAATTTCATCATTTCAGTTCCATTTAAAATCATTTTAGTCATCGGTAATGTAATAAAGAGGAGGTGTCTCTATTCCTTACTATTCCGATATCTTAGTTCGGTTATATTATCTTAACTCAGGGTTAATGCAGGATTTTGAGGATGTCACGCATACAGTCAGAGGTCACAGATCAGTCAGTGTGATAATGATAATGGGGAACTTAATGGTTGTGTAATTGAAGGGAAGCATGAGGTCAGATAATTACCTCCACGAGAGTCAAACCTGCCTGTCAGTCCCTATTAGAGGGAGTCAGGACTCATCTGTAATGATAGTGGGAGTTTTCATCGTCACAGAAATGGGACAAAGGTCACAATCTGCTCATATTTTTGAATACAAAATCAGTACAGTATACTCCTGATTTTAAGACCTTCAGGCAGCACCGTATTAAAAAAGAGGGAAATCACTGCATGGGCACAAAATCCCTTCCAAAAACTATTGTCTGTGAACACATTTCAGCAGGTAAAACTAAAGAATTCAAAGAGGAAACCAAATAGAAACATGATCCAGAAACACCAGAGATGTCTCCGGGTGTGAAATGGACTGAAAGTGGGAAACTGTCCTGTGGTCTGATGAAACAAAATTTGACTTTATTTTTGGAAATCACGGATGTTGCATCCTGTGCTCCAAAGAGAAGGGAGGCCATCATAGTTCAAAACTCGTCTTGGGATCATAAGTGACCATGGCATGGGTAGCTTTGAATTTGTTTACAACCCACTCCTGCTTACTTCTTAATAAGAAAAAATGACTGTGATTTATAGATGTGGGCAAATTCATTCAATATACTGGATTTTACTTTTCCAAATAAAACCGCCCCCAAAGTGAAAGTAAACCTCAGATAAAGAGAGTGAGTACACAGTGGAAACAACAAGCTGCATGGAGAGATAATAACTCATGACTTTTACCTTCATACACAAAAATGTCAAACAGGTCCAAACATGCTCAGTCTATCTTTGCCCTTATACACGCCTATGTTTACATGCATTCAGTCAATACTGTAAATGTACTGATTAGAGTACATTACCCCTGACAAACCTCTACCAGTACTCTCCTAGCTTTGTTAGTGGGAACACCCCCACACCATCTGGACTCCAGTGATGAAGATAAAGACTCTGCAGAAAGCTGAACCTGATATTTGGCTCTGGGTATTTCTGAGTCTTTGTGATGTGGACAAACATCTGTGAGTCTCTGCCCTGACTATTCATAGACCCACCACTTCAACACTCATCAGGAGCCTCCCATGTGAGCCCATCCTAATGTTAAGACTGACACAGGGGCGCAAGATTCTCTGTTTATCTTTCTCAATCCATCCGCCCTCTTTATTTTAGTTTCCTAGAGCTAAAGCACTAGAGCTGGCAGGTTCAAACTTGGCTTTGGCATCGAGGTAAAGTGGGTCATCTCTCAATCGAAATGTCAGTAGTCTGATCCGTCGCTCCTGCAGTTACATGTCAAAGTGTCCTTGGGCAAAACACTAAACCTTAAGTTGCTCCCAAAGGCACAACCATCAAGTGGATGAGATCAGTTAGATTTGATTGGCACTTTGTGAACAAGAAGAAAAGTTCTGCCAATTTGAAAGCAATGAAAACCAAGCTGCAGGGAACAAAGTCATCACTCATGAGTTTGAGGAACAAAAACTGTAAAAAGTTACAGGCTGGGATTGTGACTACTTAAGTGTTCAGAGGCAAGTCAGTAACAAGTCCATTTATCCTATGGGAACCTTTGTGATTTCCTCTAGATATCCTCTAGATATCTTGAAATAATAAATGGCGTACCCCAGGGCTCTGTCTTGGGACTACTGGTATTTACAATTGATGGTAACAGTATTGGTCCAAATGTCCCTACTGCAGTTTTAAATTCATATGCAGATGATACCGTTATTTACTACTCCCCTAATTAGCATTGTCAGGCTCTGGGTTGCTTGTAAGATGCTTTTGGAAAAACACTTGCATGAGTGAAAATTTGATCTTGCATCCTGACAAAACAAAAGAACAAATAAAACTCATTAACTTAAGCTTTTTGTATCATGTTTTCTGTTTGCAGCATGCTTTTATATTTGTTTATCTGCAGGATTTGAGAGTGCATTTTCAAATTGAGATGGTTTCCGTTTATGTAGCAGGTCCCTCCTGATGTAAGTCTCTTGGCCCGTTGCAGTGCCCTGTACCCTAGTCTCCTACTTTCCCACACTTCCAGCCCTGTGTGCATACAGTCCGTCCGCTGCCAAGGCCAACACTTCTACGGGACAAACCCACGCTGCCAAAAAGATGCCCTCTTCTGCCAAGAGGCTAGCTTGTTTTAGAGGGATGGGGATCATGTGTTGTGTCAACACGGACTCTGCATTCGATGCCAGCTGCCTGCCTCTAACCCAAACCCTCCTAACACCGTCACAGGGCCAAGAGGAGGACCATGCCCACAGCTTCCCTCTGCCAACTGTACTGAAGAAACAAGACGGGGAGCCATGTCTGTGCCAGCTTCCTGCCATCACATTAACACAGTCTGGCGTGCTCTCACAGTCGGGTGGCTGCACCCACAGACTGTGAACTGCATCCGTGCACAGCTGTGAGAGGCTCCCTACTCGTGGGCCGAAGTTTGCATTCAAGCGCTTCAAAACACGAGACTTCAGAGGAGATCAAATCAAAGGCTGCAGCCGAATCAGCACAGATGTAATCAGTGACAGGCTGCGAGACGGAGGGGTGGATGTTTTTCTTTGCATGGAGTCTGTGGACGAGTCTGGACAATCTTAAACTGAGAAAAAATTGAAGGGAATATTTACTCCTGCAAGTTTTCTGCTGTGTCATCTGAGTTTGTCCCTTCGCAGCAACTTTAGTGTCACCTGGATGTCACAAAAACACACATCACCAGAAAGCTGTCGGTCTCACAAAGGGAGTGGATTTTACAGTACGCTAGTGTTGCGTCGTTCACAAATGATTCGTTCAAAAGAACCAAATCTTTTAAGTGAATGTACTAAACCGAATCACTTTCTCGAGTGATTCATTCAGTTGAGCTGAAGTGAGAAACAGCATTGCCAGGCCAGCAGCAGGCAAACGAGGGACCACATGCACTGACGCCTGATTCACTTGGTGGACAAATCACACATTGAACTACACTCTCTGGAATCGTTTTTGTCGGACAAAACTACCTTTTTTTTCCACTGCTTAATTGCGACCACAACAACTTGCATACAATAGGACACAGCATGTAACAAGTAGTGCATTAAACCCGCAGCATCCTATCATTTCAGCGGTTTGCGAGGGAACGGTGCATGTTCACTTTGAATTCTTCTAAACTTTCAGAACGAACGAATCACTCACTGACCCCAATTTACTGAGCAGACCTGGTTCACTTTCACAAACCTGTTTGCCAAAGCGACACAGCCAAACACCCTCATCTCCCAGACCCAGAAGCTATGAATTGAACTGAGTCCTGAAACGTTCAGCTGTGTATCAGTTCAAGAGGTCAGAATCGCAGGCTTCCCCCGCTAAGCGCTAAGTGATTCTGTGATTTGGTGAATGAATCTTTTGAACGAATCTTTTTAGTGAACTGATTCTAGTGATTCAGTACATTAGGTCAAAAGAGTTAGAATATTGCGCCTCTTTTCTGATTTTCTGGTTTTTATCATTCTTCCAATCTGTCTTTGCAAAAATAGAAATAAAAATAAAAATTAAGCATTACACGTGTTTATGGAATTTCTTTAAGCGCATAAAACAGAATATAAACTCATTGATCGTGTTCTCCAGTCTGTCTGCACCTGCCTTCATGGAACCAATGTGGAAGCTCTGTCTGCCCATTCTTACCAACCTTTGACCCCAGACAGAAGGGTGCCTCTGACATTAGCCCACATGAGCCACACCTGCTGCTGGCCCTGAAAGAGGTCACACCCTGCCATCTCCCTCCGCCTCTGGAAATAGATCCCGCTGCTGCAGGAGTTATATAAGTGTTTGTTTGCTGAGTGGTTGATTAATGAGCACAGAAGGCCAGTGACGTGTAATATCTATTTCAGAGGGTGTGTGTGTGTGTGTGTGGTGTTACATGTATGACTTTTACATTCTTGGTCATGTACACACTAATGCATGCAGCCTTTTTAGTGTGTCCTTCACTTCAATCCCCTAAAGTTACGTAAGTTCTTAGAAAACTACATGAATGTAAGATCTCACAGTGTTTTCTTTGTTTGTGTGGCTTCAGCCTCCTCAATGAATCTTTAATTGTCCAACACATCTGCTGGATATCAAAAGGTGACGACAAACAAGACGGAAAACAAACCAAAAAGGTGTAGGATGATGACATTTAATGGTGGCAGGAAGCAAACTTTTCTTCCTCTAGAATACTGCGGTCGATTAGCACCTGAATTTGACATCTGAGCTCTGCTTAAAAAACAGCACTGGCTATTGTTGCATAGTGTATTTTTGGTGTATGGTTATTATTTTTACAGTTTGAAATGGCATGATGAACTAATGACAGTTTGCGTTTGTGTTTGCAGAGAGGTACTCCTCTTTAGATTGTTTTATTTCCTGCATTGTCAAACTGTGCTTTTATTTTGAAGTATTGGCTTCTTCTGGTAGATTGATATCAGAATAAAACCAATCAAAAAGTATTAATGTCTAGAAACCTGAAGCGACACTAGCTCTCACGTTGTTGTTGTTGGATGCACAATAAATGCTTGAATGTCAGTTTTTTAAGTGTTTAGCTAAAGCTAGTTTTCTCCAGCCTGCTTCATGACATGCCGCAACCACATAATGGATAACACATGACCATATTTTTGCCTTTTAATGTCTTAAGACGAGACATGTTTATGGGTTTATCTGACTTATGTGTGAATTGGTACGTTCTGAGGTTTTTGCATGCTTTCAACAATTAAACCCTCTCTGTGGTGCTTTTTTAGACAGTTTCTAAACAAACATGCAGGTTTATTTTTTAATGTGTAACTTCAGAATAAAAACCCTATATCAAAGAGAAAGGTTGTGACGGCTTGATAAAGAGAAATCTATACGTACTTTACTAAATGAAGTGTAAGATTGGGTCGAAAATAAAGAGCAGAGACTTTTCTTAGTAAAAGAAAAACATTTCATACTTTAATTACATCTCTGGCAGACTTTAGCTGTATTAAATACACATATTGCTTTCCAGTTTTCTCCAGAGTGAGTTTAGGTTACTCCAGTTACGTTCTGTTAATACGGAGGCAAATAGACTTATTATTATTATTTACATGAGATACAAAAATATATTTTACACAAATACAGACAATAAGGAGCTCTATAAAATTACAAATATATTTCTATTATAAAAAGCTATTTTTAAATACTCTTCCAGCTCTGGGGTCGGAGTGTGTCCTGCTCTGTGATGTGATCTGACAGTAAATGTTCCAGTGACTCTGCAGCGTTAAATCCTCTTCTCTTCTCTCATGGAGTCCATTTCATCACAGCTCGCCCTGCTTTGCTAATTTTGGCCCTTCATGCAGCCCTTACAACCCAGTTTCCAGGTGGTTGGAGTTAGTAGAGCGGTGGCGAGTTAAATTTAGTGGAGCCGGGTGGACGTTGCTGTGATCCAGCTGTATCCTGTTGGGTGTTTTTTGGGTGTAGGAGCCGGGCGTTGCTGCTCGGGGGGGGTCCAGACATACACTCCTCCTTCCCCTCATGGCTGCTCTCCAGGATGCCTCGAACCTCCTGGTCACATGCCTGAGGACAGAGACAGACAGAGCCGGTTAGAGCGGGACTTTCTGGCTCCTGGGCTCTATTCTCAGAGCGGCGGGCTCATCGTAAACACCGCTGGCCCTAATAAACACGCCGTTCTGCAGGGCTAACAAGAGGCCGCCTGACGGGTTCGCTGAATGTCCCATTTTTTTACAGAGGGTTTGTGAAAGACAGACATTCGGCAGCAGAGCGGGACAGAGAGGAGGGAGGAAAAAACATGGAAACAACTCCCGCTCCGTCTCATTCCAGTCCTGACATTTACAGTCAGAATCTGAGCGGCGGCACACATTCCTCCGACTCTGGTGCAAGTTCAAACACAAGCACAAGTCAGCCCTGAATGTCAACCACTGAAGCATTATGGGAGATAAACAGCAGCATTTTGCTTCAGGAGTTAATATCTATGAGCTCAAGCAGAGATACATTTCTAGGTTGGGTTTGGACAGAAATGTGCGACCCAAGCCCCACAGAAATCACTGCTGATATTTAACGTTGGTTTCATATTTCAGAGACCTTTTGAGGCACATGAACTTCAGTTCAGTTTTCAGGATTTTCTGCCTTTCTTCTTCATTTCTAATCGCTCTGATGAAGCCAGCCTTTAAGAGAGTGTAATGTTGCAAGAAAAATGTAACCTAAGTACTCAAACTAAGCATTTGTACCTCTCTACATGAAGATACAAGAGTAGACAAGGGTATGCATTAACGTTGCTATATGGCATGTGCAAACTGCATGAGCCCCCTTATTCAGGAGTGACTGACAGGTGTAAAAAGATATGCTTAATGGAGAGGCCTTCATGGTCCACATAACACTCCTCGCCTCCTCCCTCCCCGACACATCATTGTTTCTAAGAAACCTGAGGGGAGGGGCTTCTGTGTCACTTTATGAGTGGTCTTTAGCATAGCTGACACAGGGAACAAACGCCGTGTTAATCCTGAGTAGCGGGTGGCGCCGGCGCTCGGGCTAATTCATCAGAAGCTCTGACAGCTCGGCTGCATTAGCACTTACTCTCTAATGTCCTGTCGAGGTCGGCGATGAAGTCCTCCAGCTCTTTAGTGTCGCCCAGTTTGGCTGCAAGAGGAGAGAGAGAGAGAGAGAGATTCCAGATGAGGATGGCAAGGATTTCAACCATCACTGTCTTCATGATCAGTTTACAAGACTCAAGTTCATCTAAATCATCTCAGTCTGCAAGGTCGAGCACAACTGGATTTCTTGTTTTACGTAGTTGGATGATCAAACAGCTTTTAGCTTGCTTGAACGATTGACCCTTTTGATTCACTCTTAGTTCTTGCTCATGCATAAACTCTGCACTTGCGCAGAGATATATTGGCTTTTCATGTATTTCCTGCATACAGTGCCAGCCCTGCAGCTCTTCCCTCTAAATTAAATCTTTGTGCAACTGAATGCAAGCCGCCTTTTATATGATAAAACGACCTCTGCATTGTTTATGTAAATGTAAAAAACCTCTAGACGCAGCCATGGTTCAAAAAGTAGGAGTAGTATTATTGTCTAAATACACTCGTGCACAGGAGCAGCTCAGCTCTGCATGAGCGTCGGTATAAATTTACAGAATTTCCTTCCCTGGGGATAAATAAACTATTCTGACTCTGATGTATCCGAGCACTCAAGTATGATACATAAACATCACACTGTTTACTTGAGATAAGAACAAGAAGTGTTTCTCACGTTTTGGTGACATCAGAGGGGGTGAGGAGTTGGTGGGGGAGAACACAGTGGGGGAGTTGAGCCTCTCGTCACTGAAGCTGAAGCTGTTCCTGTTGAGAGACTCTGCACCTGTCGGAGAGAGAAAGAGAGGAGGGACGAATTCAGACAAATTAGATCAGAAGAGTGTCCACCTTCAAAGTGTGTGTATACACGACACTCATCTCGATCTGTGTCAGTGGAGCAGCTCCAGCGTGTAATCATCACATTCTCCTCTAATGACAGGCCTCCTCTGCAGCCTGTCACTCACATGCATGTGCTTGTATTTGCACATGCAGAGAGGTGCATAAACACACAAACACATACTTCAAAATATCCCCAAGCAATCCAAAATCAAGGCCCCAAAACCAAACCTGCATGTGAAATCTTCCTTTTGCAAAAGCTCGGCTCAACTCAAATAACTTCTGACGCTCCAACTCAGCGACTAAACCTCCACCAGTGACAATATTATGACAGGACAGAGAGTCGACTTTGCTTTTAAACAAGATTTATCTCTGACACGTTTCTCAAGTGATGCAAGTGCAGAGCAGGCTGCAGTTTCTATCTTTTCTGAGCTCCCCAAACTCTGAATGCAGGGTTACGTAAGTGATATAATGGCCAGTTGGAGCCTGCCAGGTCATATTTTTGCAGCGCCACAAAACATATTTTCACTGTCTGATTGTCTGCTAAGAAAATGAAGAAGAAGAGAGAAAAGTGAGGGGACTTTTGCAGCTGTTCTTTTGGATTTAAAGACTGCAGGAGATGTCCAAAGAAAGGATCAGAGGCTTGGCTGATTTTAACTTTTTTAAGTTTGTTTACATTGCTTTTATTTTCTTTTTATCGTCCACACTTGTCTTTTTAACTTTTCTACATATCAAACAATTTGAACCTTAGATGTTGTTGGATTAATGTTATGTAAAATAACCAGGTAAAACCAGCTTTTTCAGAGTTAAACCTTCTGTCAAAAAGTCTCAGCAGCCCTGTGCATGAAATCTCTGTGAGCTTGAACTAAGTGCGTGTGACAGAGAGCAGATTAGGCAGCACTCACAGCTGTCCTCGCCTCTTTCTCTCCTCTGCACAAAGTTGCCGCGAACCTTAACTCTGTCTCAGATGTCGATCCACTTACTCCCCCTTTATCTGACCTGTGCCACTCCCACCACTCAGCGCTGCACACACAGCAGGAGATTGGAGACGCCTCACACACAGAGCCGTTTGACTCGGCCATGAAACTCTATTTCTCAGTTTCACTCGATTTTCTCTCACTCTCTGGAGTCTCTCCGGACAGTTTTTGTCATTAATCTGCATGTCCAACAGCCTGTCCATCCATCAGGCTGCGGGACAATAGCCAGCCCCTGCGTGGGACAGGTCTCTCTTCATTGGACTTCCATGGAGAGGACGAAGCTCCTGCAGGAATCTGATCCTTCAGCAAATCAACAGGCTCATTAGCACCGCAGACACAGGTTCGAACACCTCCCCCTACTATTATCACAGATGATGATCACTGCAGGGTCATTAGTGGTGAGGCTGTAATGATATAAGTCCTAGCTGGTGTAGTAAACACCGCAGGAGCAGATGATACGCTTGCAAAACCGCTGGAACCAAAGTAACCATGCATTACAGACATTCTTTGGTGAAATTTATGTCTCTAAGTTGAGAAAAGAGCTCTCTTCAATCTCTCCCGCATGTGTGATGGAGGTCTAGATCATCTAATCTACGCTCTTAATTCAGCCTTTCCAGAAACAATTCAGATTTTTCCCCCATTATCCTCTTGACATCCTGATCTCAAGGGGACCTGTAGCAAACTTTTCTCCACATCTACATTAGCAGCAAACACATTTCTGCACCCTGAGGCTGGCTCTGCAGCTCTAGAGAGACTTAAAATAGGAATACATGCTTTGAAAATTTGGAATCGCTGCCACAATCTGCAGGTAAATGAGCCAAAACTTGGAGCAGCAGCTCGATCAGACGCCTAAATCTCTGGACTGAGATCAAGTGTTCCTCGTATCTCTCTCCTCTCTGAGTTCAGGCATAATTGCATGTGCAGGCGTACATGCATGGATGCATGTGCAACAGTGTGCCAGCCTATCCAGATGACACATGATAAGAAACCGCACGCAAAGGAGAAGGAAGCTTAAGCAGAGATGACATGCATGAAGCAGAGTTTTTAAAGTGGCTGAAATAACTTCATATTTCTGCAGAGCCTGATCTCCATTCAGGCTCCCCTTTAGAGTCAAGGGAGACTATTTCATTGAGACAACATGAGTCTGAATGCACTTCTATTGGGCTTTGTAAATGCAAAAGGAGCAAATGGACAATATTTCCCTCGTCAGGTTGACTTTTGTCCCCCACTCTATTGTGTAATCTTCATAAACTCACTCTCTGAGTCGCTGATGCCACTGTCGCTGACGCTGGCGCAGCTCCTCCTCTTCACCGTCTTCAGGTGCTCGTCGTACCTGAAGTGACGCTTCTCCACCGGCGACGTGAAGTCTTCGATCACCGCGTCGAACTCGCACAGGACGTCGTTCAGGTCCTCCTCGTTGACGAACTTCGCTGCAGGAAAAATCACAGAAATGAGAATTATGACAGAGTAGGAACATGTGTTTTAGTCTTTGAGATATTTATTTCTGACCGAACAGGTGAGAACTTGCCTACTGCACAATCATGATAATACTACTACTTTCCAAAGTACAAAAAAAAAGCATTTCTCATGCGTAAAACACATTTTTACGCACGAGAAATAAAAAGTGATATTATTACCTTTGGTTCTCAGCTTTGGAGACTTCATTATTCCAGTGATTTCTGATAATTCAGTCCTGAAAAATCTCAGAAGTGTAACTTCAATAATCTGAATGTTCCTCAGGGTAAAGTCCAGTCCAGTCTCTCCTCACACAAAGTGTCCTGCAGGTCTTGAACTGATCCTGAGAGCAGGACTGGCGGTTTTAAGGAGCCCCGATCAGCGGGGGTGGGGCCAACCCTTTGCTGCAGGAGGGAGGGGTGTGCGTGTGAATGCGTGAGTGTGTGTATGAGTGTGTGTGACCAATAAAACTTTTTTTCCCGGTCGGGGTTCCTGTCCGCTGACGTCCCCCCGTTAAAACCTGTTTGTAAACAGCTCGTGTGTCGGTGTAACTCTGATATTTATAATCACGTCTCTGAGTGTGTGTGTGTTCGTGTTTTATCTCATTACAGAGCTGTGACAGGTCATCCAGGAGCACGAGGCCCGCGTTACGCGTTACTTCAATATTATTAATGAGTTTATAATTGAGAAAAATGAGATTCAAATAGCGACGTCAAAGTCAAAGTGCTTTGAATGTTTCGTATTTAATGTCGAATGCTATACAATTAGAGCCTGATCGATTAATTGATACGCTATCGATCATTAGGAAACAACATTAGGATCGTCTTTACCGTTCTGCTACAATTTAAAATGTCTGAACCATTCAGTCTATGGTCTGAACATCTTTTTATAAACTAACTTTCCCTCTAAATTAAATCTTATTTTAGTTTGGTATTTTTATACTTTTCAGTGCATTTGCTGTTTGTTTCTTTTGGCCTTTTGTAACATTTCTGTGGCCTAAATCCTAAAACCTTTTCTTTTCTGAGACAAAACCTGAAAGTCTTCTGTTCCTGAGCATCATAATCTCCACCTGAGATTTTATCACAGGGAAAAGAGAAACTTCTTACCACAGCAGTCATGAAAATGTTCGTCTCGCGTTAATCTGGAACAACCCTGGAGTTTGATCGCCCTCTAGTGGTGAAGTAGAGTAACTACATTACATCTTAATGCTTTAAACCACAGTTTTCACACCAGTACACTGATAACTTGAGGTGTTTTTACAAATTACCAAATCTTGAATCTCTTTTGAATTTTAACTAAAATTAAATTTGATTTTTGTCATAATCTTAAAACGAATGAGTTAAATTTTCTAGTTCTGTTTTATTTCCAGGGTTGTTCTGGAGTCTGAATGTTTTGTTTGGTTTTATTTTGTATCCACCATTAGTTACAACAAAATATGCAGTACCTACTCTTCCCGGGGTCATTATCTTCTTTTCCATTTTCATTTTTAACTTAGACATATGTACTTACAGGGGCGGCACAGTGGTGTAGTGGTTAGCACTGTTGCTTTACAGCAAGAAGGTCCTAGGTTCCGATCCGGGTCAGGGCGTTTCTATGTGGAGTTTGTATGTTAGGTTAATTGGTCGCTTTCAAATTGCCTGTAGGTGTGAATGTGAGCGTGAATGGTTGTTCATAATCTATATGTCAGCCCTGCAATAAACTGGCGACTTGTCCAGGGTCTTCGCCTTCGCCTGAAGATGCTGGGATAGGCTCCAACCCCCCGCAACCCCTAATGGGAATAAGTGGTACAAAATGGATGGATGGATGGACATGTACTTACAGACATTACACTTACATAACACTCATTCTACACTTCATTCATACAGGAGCTCTTATTCTCTCTTGCTTGTTGAAAAATAAACCAATACATAAATAAGACGAAGAAAGAAAAGTGAAAAGACAAAAAAGAAAAACAGAACTTACTTTAGGGACAGCAAGTAAACTTCATCCATCAGAGAGAAGAGCTGAACTCAATATCATTCATGGTACTCCATTTGTAAACAAATACACCTTTAATTGTTTGTTAAAGCAACTTCTGTTGATGTCTGAAATTAAAAAGTTAGGTAATAAATTCTATGCCATCATCGCTCTGTAGTGGACAGTCCTGTTTATTGCCTCTGTTCTGCATGGAGGTAGCTGGAGCTCTGTTTTTAATAATACGTTTTATGAAAAATATCAATAGGTAATGCAATTTACATTTAACATTCAACCAGATTAATCGATTATGCATTGCTGTGCTACTTGTTCTATAGGGACAATGTGCTTGTCACCTATACATGAGTTCGATGTTGGTGCCGATCTCAACCTATACTTTGATGCTAACACCATGGACTTTGTTTTTTCAATGTTAAGGGCTAATCTATTTCCTAAGACCCATTCATGTGCATGTGGTCTTTAATCCTTTTTTTCAATATAAATACAAAAAATTGAACTTAAAGCATTAACCTTTTGCAAAAAGAAAGGTACAAGATAGCAAAGCATAGCATGAGTATTCCCCTGGTCACAGACTAACAGCTGTTTCTCCTCAGAGCCTCCAGACACCAGGTCGTCTAATAAAACTCTCTATGAGTTAATTCATCTCCGCTGATCAGGACAGCCATGCTGAGACTTTCACACCTCCAGCGCCCACTTCAACATGATCAGCAAATGGATAAACAGGGCATGTGTTTGCAGCTGCACGTGTCTGTTGACTCTGGAGGTCTGGAGGTGCTACTTTACGAGGCGGCCGGCTCAGCAGAGGTGCTAAAAGTGACGCCGCCACGACTCCATGAGAACATATCAGTGAGCACATACTCATACTCCAGATACCGGGACGTCAATCACTGAGTCTGCAGCTTAAAATAAGAACAGTGATCATCTTTATTGAAAAATAAATTAAGAGATCTCTACTTACATATTTACACTCATTTAAAATCACTGATGGATACAATAACAGCTTAAAACGTAGCTCATATTTCAAAACACAAATATCTGTTGCTGTACGGGACAAGATTATTCATGCTTGGTGTATTTTAGCGAGTCTGGAAATATATTTGTATGTTTAAAAAAAATAAAATCACAGTATAACAATGTTAAAAGTAATATTCTTTTTATCTCCTCAGTGTTGCAGCATGTTAACTCTAAGGGAAGTAACTACCATACGTTTCTCAGTCCAGATTCATGCTGCAGATGAATTTCATGAGCTGTGACATGAATTAAACAAAAGACACATGTGACATGATTTTGTCACTCAAAGTCACAGCCCAGGAGTTCAATCCTCATGGTGATGGAGCTCATCCAACTTCGTGGGATGATGCGGATAAAGCGTGAGAAAATCGGAGGGTAGATGTAGTTCTTCACGTGGTCGTTGTTGTCTGTATTCCCTATAAACGTCTAGATATAAAAAGAGAGATGGTCAAAAGATGACACTGTTGAAGGGAAAACCCACAAAGCTGATACAGTTTCATGTGATGTTGCTGCGGCTCACCTTTGAGGAGATGGACTCGTCGTCTGTGTACTGGTGCCAGTGGATGCCATTGTCGCTGTACTCCAGAGAGTAGGAGATGACGTACATCTCTTTACCCAGAGACTTTGCTCCTTGTGTGATGATTCCTGTGATCTTTTTAACTTGAGGCAGCTCCACCTGAAGCCACTGGTTCATGTCATTATACTGCAGCACACAGAGAGAGAAAGAGTAGGCTTAACTTCGTGCACTTCAATTTGAAGTTGAAGCACATGGGTAAAAACAGTATGTATTAGTACCTTAGCCTGCCATGCGTTGATTGTGCCCTGTTTGTTGAGGCGAGCCAGCGAGGGTTGCCAGGGTCCGGAGTACCAGCTGGAGGCTGTGGAGCTGGCTGTGATTTTACGGTCATCGATCAGTCCTGTTTCCATCCCCAGAGGAACCGAACAGCCTTGGAAAAAACAAAGAAAAATTAAAAACATTTACAGGAACTCTCACTTTATAAGAATTAACAGTGTTCTAAGTTCAGATTTAAGATCTTCCTGCAAACAAGAACACATTTTGACCATCTAATGTAAATTTCAGAAGAACAAAGTTGTAATCCCACAAACAGCCGTACCATCGAGCTCACAGCCGTAGAACTCCATGCGAACTGTAGCCTTGCCATACCATTTGGCAGGGTGGAGCCTGATAAACCGTCCAATCAGAGGAGGAAAGAAGGTGTTTTTGTTTATTTCATATGCCCCCCGGTTCCCGTTAAACATCTGAAGAGAGAAAAGACGATCACAGAGACATGAAGAGGTGATCTGTCTGAGTTTGAAGCTGTACTGATCAACAAGGTAAGTGATCCTCCCCCACCTTCCTAAAGTCCCTGCTGTCGCCTTTATAGTAGATCCAGTTCCTGCGATCGGTACTGTAAGAGATGTAGTACTTGGTCACATACTGGTCGCTGAAGAGTTGCCTGGCCCCTTGGGTGGCTACCTGGCTGATCACAACTGGCCGCTGGAGGTCCACCTGTAGAGAGGAAGTGAATATGAAGCAGATTGTATTCCACAGACATACATTTTTCCCATCTGCAGCACATACCTGGATCCAGCTGTGGTTATTCTCTGTGCTCCAGGCGTTGTATTTACCGGGATTGTTCAGTCTTGCTAGATGTGGCTCCCAGTAACCTTCAGAAACAGTGATATACAGTCATTCCTCTAAGGACAAACACTTTACAATCATCATGTTTGCAGCAGAATCACAGCAGGTTGTGATTACCTCTGGTGTTAATTGCTGTGATCTGGTCATCCTTCACACTGCCAGACTCCAGACCCATTGGACGGTAGCAGTCTACGAAGAGCCGGAACGATGAATATAACAGTGTGTCAGTGCAGTTGAGAACAAAATACTGCAAATTCTGCTGTGACTTGTATTATTTGTACCATTATCCAGGACAAGAAAGAGGGTCTGCATGCCCTTCAGCTGATTAAAACCAACTTCTGACTCTAGCTGCCACAGGCCAGGTTTGGATGGACGCATCTCTAAAGTGGCGAAACCTCCTGCAAAGACAGTTAGGTACAGAAATGAAGCTGCAATGCCCAATGATCATTGTCTTTTGATGGTGGAACTTTGGTTTTCAAGAATACACAACCCCAATTCAAAAATGTAAGAATGCCTTGTAAAATAAAATATACAAAATCAGATTATTTTCAAATATTTTTAAGACTTTTTTGGACATGTGGATACTCTGGTTTTGTTGTTGTTCTTATTTTGTTGTGATAAGTGAGATTGATGTGCTTCTAAGTGAGGCACTTATTTTATTTTATTCTTAACTGTTGTTTTGTGTGTTTTTTTTATATACATTTTTTTTAACCATGTCCAGAAATAAATAAAGAAATGAAATGAAGACTATATTCAAATTAAAAAAAAGCAAAGACAGGATAGCAAACACTGAAACTCAGATCAAAATTTTGTTTTGAGAAAAATACAAGCCCATTTTAAATTTGATGCTCGCAACTCGTATCAAGAAGTTCTTTCAGGGTCATGTGTCCCATTGTGTAACATCACTCTGTAAACATAAGTGAACCTAGTAGACCAGTTTCTGTAGTTTGAAGAGTGAAATGTTGTCCCATTCTTTCCTGATAGAGAATTTCAGCTGCTAAACAGTTCAGGGTCACCTGCTGAATCTTTTAATGATATCATGTAATTTAGACGATTCTATCCATGACGTTTTACTTTCAGGAAGTTTTTAGAATCTGGGTCGTAGATTTATAAAAAGAAAGACACAATATTGTAATGAAATCTGTCAAAGCTGCTCACCAGGCAGAAGTGGAAAGACCGCTTGTCTGTAGCTGGTGGTCTTCTTGTAGAGGAAGGTCTGTCCATGGAAGTGGACACTCTGGTAGTCTTTGGGTGAGCCCATGTTAATCAGGTGCCAGGACACAAGCTGGTTGGTGTACATCCTCAGGCCTTTTAGGTTGTATGTAATGCCGTTGATAGCTAAGAAGGAAAAAAAGACACTTCAGCATTTTTTGGTTCAGTTGTTTTGTTATTTTCTTCTCTAACTGAAAATTTTTGACTAAGCAACAGACAGTTTTTCCTTAAACCTTTTCTCATTTGCTTCCTGTTCAGGTGACTTCACTGCCACACCAATGCCTATTTTCTAAGCCCAATGAACTCATTAGGTTTAAACTTCTGGATGTTATGAAATACATTACTGTGGAACTTGAGGTTCTCCCTGAAGGTAGAGTCCGGAATTCTCCTCCGACTTTTTCTTTGGATCATCTCGCGGTTGGTCTCGTAGTACCAGCTCTGGGATTCATCGAAGGTCATGAACAACAACATGAACTGCCTGAATTTCGGTAACTCCTCTTCCAGGGTTCCCTCTCGGCACACCAGAAGAGGCCCGATCAGACCAGAATTGATATCTTTCTCCTTAAATACAAGCAAATCAAAAAACAAGTTAAATGGTAATTTCTAATTTAACTTTCAAAGCGTTTTTTGCTGAAGTCAGATTTTAGTTTGTAACTCAATCTTGGTAAGAATTGGTGGACTATTACTTTCAGCCTTTACATATGTGCTACGTAATGTTTTGAATGGCCACTAGGGGGTAGCAGATATGGCCAAAGTCACTGATGATAGTATTTCATACCTAACATAATAAGAGCATAATATTCGACCAAGTGTGAATTACTTACAGGATTAACACCTGAATAGTAGGCCCAGGTCCGGCAGTGAGACTCATGTGGCTTCGGCCCAACCATTGAGCTGACCTTCCATATGTACGTGAAGGTAGTATTGGGCTTAACCTCGTCATCATACTGGAACCAGTACTTTGAGCCGTCATCATAGGACAGTCCCTCTGTCTGTTTGGTGTAACTGACTCCATTTGGATGTATGGAGAACGGACGTCTTGCATTGTTCTTGAAAACCACCTACAAGATTAAAAACAACCAGAAAGGACATCATCAGGCCTTTAAAAGATAGTGTCATGTTTTTTTAAAATTTGCCTTTCTTACTTTATTTCCAACTATTAATGTCTAAATGAAGCTACGGTCAGATTTCAGTGAGCTTTATTTAGCACAAAGGCTGTAAGCAAACAGAAATTGCTAACCCCGCTGAAGATAGTTGCTTCGCTTTTCTGAAGCATGACTCTCCAAACAACCACAAAATTTGGTTTTACACCTTGGTTTCTTGAGCAGATCAAATCAGTCCTCCTTGTTAACGTCCCCGTGCAAAGCTAAGCCAACCAGCTGTTTAATTTGGCCTGTAAGAGGGCAAGAAAGAGGAAAATCCCAACAAACCCACGCAGCCTTACCATGATGCTCTGTCCAACTTCAGCTTTGATGACAGGTCCAAGGATGCCAAGATGCTCATCCATCTCCCCTCTGACTTCAGGTGTGCTGAAGCTGCTGTCTATGTAACCTCTGAAAACCACCTTGGTGAACTCGGTCATGCTGCCGTGTACATGTGATTTTTCTTGCCTCCTGTGGTGACAACACAAAAGTATGTTAACATGCAAATGTGCAGCGGTTTCCCGATAATTCTGAATATTCTGTTGCCATAACTTCTCATTTCGCTTACTTGTGCCCGTAGCCAGCATAGTCCCACTGAACCTCCTCTGCAGCGATGAAATAAGTCTTGTAATTTGAACCTGTGAATTTCATGTAGTATTTAGCTGTCTCATCCAGGTTTAGATTCTTAATGTCTTGATGACCACTGTAAGGGTCTTTGTAGACCACATATTCGTATTCATTATCTTTCACATCACTTTCTCCCACGCCTAGATGATCTGGTTCATCTCCGGGAACATAAAGCTCGTAGTCACTGAAGTCCGGCCTGGGCACTCCTATGACAACAGGCATATTGATGAGCTCTTCCTCATCTGATACAGGTTGTGGTATATTGGGTCTCGCCCCACGTGGGGTCATGCCAGGGTGAAACCCGCGGGGAGATAACGGTAAGCCACTTCTTGCCTGAGGCTTGTATTCTTTCCTCTTCCTTGTCTTCATGCCGTGGCCTTTCTGAGGTCTCTGTCGGAAGTTCACCTTCTTGGTCTTTTTGGGGGCTGGTGTTGTTCGCGGGCTCTCTTTGCCAAGATACTTCATCATTTCATCAGGAATCTCCAGTGGTACCACTTCATGAGTTCCATCATAAGTCCAGTTGTACTCTTGTGTCTTGATGGGTTTGGTTTTGATCACCATTGTGTCATTTTCTCTCAGGTAGATAACAACTTCTTCAATGATTTCTGATGAACTTAACTCAACGGAACTGTCGTTTCTAGAGAGAGTCATATTAACTGAAGAAACTGTCTCGTTGGTAAAGCTTTCTGGAGATGATGATGTTTGGTTAAGCTTATCATAAATACCTGTAACATTGGTCCTGTTGTCCAAACTGTCTCCCTCTGATGAATTTAATCCTGATATACCCATAGTAAGATTCTGTAAAGGCATGGTTTCCTCCAAAGTTTGTGTTTCGTTTTCAAGGTTCGAACTGGATGAAATATTGAAATTGTTGGACGAATTCAACTGAAGTCCAGGCTCCTGCTCTGTTGCTGTTGAGTTTGCGCCATCAGGGGTTATTGTTTCAATCTCCAAGTCAGGACTCAAATTTCTATGCAATGCTTCAAAAATGTCTTGCAATGCTCCTATGAAATTAGTCGCTTCAGTCAGTAGAGTCCCAACTGTAGGTGATGCTGTAGCACTGGTAGAATTTGCAGTTATTGTTTCATTCTTTGCACTGTAAAAAATCGTGCTGTTCTCAGTTTTTAACTTGGTCGAGTTGTCCGGAGTTGAGAGGACGCTACCATTCTGGGTATGTGTAGAATTCTCACTGCTTTGGTTCAGAAGAGTTACAGCTTCGGGATTTAGTCCATCAACCTCCTTCCAATTTGAGGGCACTGTCTCATTTTTCAAATCTGAGCTTGATACAACAGCCGGATGTGGGTCTCCTGTGGGCACATCCACAGCATCATAGTCAAGGAAAGACAAGTCCAGCAACTCAACACTTGAGGTCTGTGATTGGTTCTTGAGAGACCTTATCCCGAGCTCTGAAGCCCAATGATCTGATATGCTGTCTGACTCCACCGGCTCCTTTTGTTTTTCAACTTCTGCTTTTTTCTCTTCCTCTCTGATCTCATTCAAGGTTTGAGGTTTCCACTGGTTGAATTCTTCCTCATCATTGTACTCATACTGGTAATCTCGATAGCACTCGACATCCTGGAACTTAACACGCATCCCTTTCATTGTCTCATGGGAGTTCAGGGAAGCCAGGAGCCATACACCTGGAAAAAGAAAGTCACACAAGACGGTCATGTCTAAAGGACCACTTATTCTTTAAGAATATGCATCCCTATAAATCTAGTACTTGGATGTTCAGTTCATAATCAAGAAATACCGACCAATGTTATCCATGTTCATGGCAATGGTCTCTCCAGTCATGGGGTAGAGGCTGAGATAGTCCTCTGTCCGGTCATTCAGCTCAAATGTATGTCCGTAGAAAGTAGCTGTCTGGATGAAGTCCTGTGTTCCGATGCTGGACACATGCCATGTCGCAATCTCACCATTGCAAAAGCCCAAGGTTGGACCACTCTCAAACACGTAACCGTTGATCGCTGTGAAACAATTTCAAACAAGGCAGATTAGACCAATGAGGTTAGTAAAAAAAAAAAATAGAGGTAAACGTTTAGAATAAATATGACAAGATTGATCTTGATTATGGCAAAACTCACTGTGCATAACATTTGACTTATAAAAGTCTGGGTCTGCCTTGTTGACTTTGGACCGATCACAGTACTGACGAATGTTATGATCCAGGTACCAACTCTTGTTCTCGTCAAAAACAGCCAACATTGCATGCTGCTCCTTGTCTGCTTTCAGCTGTAGAAACATATAAAAACATTTTATAGCATATTTTTATTGCTAAAATTGTAACTCTGGCTTTTACTCTTAATTTCCTTTCTTTCACCACAGCGAAGACGAATACTGAATATCATCTGGGAGTTGCTTTCTTTCCCGTAAGGTCAGCTGATTCACCATGGGCTGAATTTGACTACACAGCCTGCCTGAACTATCACCCAGTTCATCAATTTGTTCCTTTGTATCCAAACTTATTAAATTCCAATGCACAGCTTTACACCACCAACCCATGAGTGAGAAATAAGCTGTTTTTTTTACCTGTACATTCCTGACGTTGAGGGACTGACTCTTGCAGATGAGCATCGGTCCGATCAGTCCTGAGGCGATGTCTCTAGGTGTGTCCACCGCACTGTGGTAAAATCGTGTCAGACATCGAGAATCTCCCAGTAAAGGCTCATCCTCCTCCAGCACTCTCCACACATAGGTGTATGTCTCACCAGGCGGAACTCCATGAGACTGGTTACCTGGTTGACACAGTGACATTTACAGCGCCAAATTAGTGTAATGGTGTTATTTTGTAAATAGTCAAACCATTAGCTTAATAGTAAGGAGAGGTTTGGTACCTCCTGCTGGGTAGTTGACTCCCTCTTCTGACTTATCGATTGATAGTCCATGTGGATAGATGCTGTAAGGTCTGGAGGCCATGTTCTTGAAGACGACCTGTAAAAGAGGAGTCAAGTGGCTGCTGGTTCGAAACAAACTTTTAAACATCCTCTCCGTGCTCAACAATTGAAGCTGATTTCTTTCTTCTGTGATAAAATATGAATGTTTAAAAATACTTACTGTGATAACATCTCTGATTTGTGCTCTGATGACAGGACCCAATATCCCAAGCTCGTTTTTTCTCTGTTGTGACTCCAGTTTTTCAGTGAATGACTCGTTTTTGTACAGTGTGTACACGGCCTTCTTGTACCTCTTTCCAATGCGTGTTGCTGACTGTTTCAGGTACTGAGACTTAAAGTCCCTGCACAAAGACAAACACTGATATAACTTCTAAAACAAAGCAGCCTTTGGGAGATATAAAAATGCTGTAAAATGCTGCTTACTCATCAACATGATCGTGCACTTCTGGTGCATAGTCCCAGGTTATTTCCTCAGCAGCAATGTAATATTTCCACTCCCTGCTGTGCCGTTTTTGCTCAATGGTCATCCTTCGCCGAGGAGGTTTGAAGCCATCACACATTTTCACATTTACAAATCCGTGCATGCCAGCTGCAATGACAGAAACAGTTCAGTAATGGTCTTTGGAAAACATCAGTAACGGTTAAAATTTTCCCTTTTTACAGACACATTATAAGCGAATAATGCACCAATGTTTGCAGCCAACATTTATGAATATCGGTGTGCATCTTATTTTTATCTCATCTTATTGATTTAATGCCAGCGAGCAAAATGAAAGCATCAATGTAGATTTTAACCATCCGCATTGGCCCTGCATTCTCTATAGAAAGCTTGCTTCATGGTTTGGATGATGGTTTTATTCTTACCCTCCATGTGCTTGGTGGTGTGCGACGAGAGCAGCCAGCGGCCTGTGGACAGAGCCTGCATGCTGGCGGTGGTGGATGACCCACTGATCAGGCCCACTGAAGACACTTTATGGCCAGTCTGAGTCAGCACCTGTCCATTCATGTGCACTGAGAACACCTCAGGCTGGGAGCTCATACCAAGCAGTTGTAGGCTCACAGGAGCGTAAGCACAGACATCGACATCTGGAGAAACAAGGCGAGACTTTGATTTTACTTTGCTCAGAATGGTTTGGTTTATACTGAACATCTGGTGAAAGTCTCTTAAGTGTTGGCGCTGGATTTTAACCATCTATTGGTGGAAATACCAACTGTGTCCTGTAGGTGGGCACTGCTATGACCAGAAGATATGTATAGATGGCTTCAGGTTGGGGCTATCTTTAAACTTGTAAAATTTGATACAGATTGGCTGTTGTATGTTAAAGTCAGTAGCATGTACTTCCATGAGGTGGCGCTATGACTGCAGTTGGAAAATGCGCACATTGATGTACTTAAGAGTGGATCTTGATCATGAATGTGAAACATCAAAGAGTTGATTGAATGCAACCCCCAGCCAGAGTTCGTATGACAAGACTGATGGATGACCATACCAGGTAGAGCTCCCTGAGTGTATCCATTGATGGTGTAGATAACATGGTCATTTGGGGAGGGGCTGGTTGCTTTGTGTTTACTCTCTTTCTCATCAAAAACCCCAAAGAGGAAGCTGTACTCCTGATGAGCGTGAATCTGCTTCCCTGACTGATCCAAACTGCCTGCAGAAAAAGCAAAAGAGTCAAACATATTTATTTGACTCCTAACAAATTCAGCGATTCTGTCAAAATCGAAACGGCCACTTCTTCTCACTTACCAGGCTTGCAGACGAGTAAAGTACCGATAAGGCCCGAGTTGTAGTCCTCTACAAAATTTTGATGGGAGATGTAGCTGTAGGTGAGACAGGTGGGGTCACTCGCCTGTGGAGAAACCTCTGGCGTCACCTCCCAGTAGTAAACATGTTCACAGTTTGGCTGCACGACATCATCCTCTTTCTCTTTTTGTGAGGTGTTGTCAAAGTAGTGAGCTCCTGCAAACAGAAAGTGCAATCAGTTTGAATAGGTGCAAAATGACAGAGATTAGACAGTGCATTCAACAAGCAAATAAACAAATACAAGCATCAGTTTAAAAACACTGTATACACCAACAACTCAACCAAACCCTCAAAGTTTTCAAAGTCTATTGTCCTTGAGTGCTGCAAAGTGAACTGAGCTGCACCTTTGCTGTTGAATTTGTTAACCCAGCTTGGATCCTACTGATAGGAAGCTTCAGTGTGCATTTTAGACTATCTAAAGAGGGGCCAAAATCTTCATTTTGTTGTTGAAAATGATGGCTAACTTGCTGATTCTGTGGTGAATAAATTAGACATGAGCATTGGCTGTAAAGCTATTACACCTGGCCTTTTCCAAAAACTCATTTCTTCCAAGCTCCGCCCTTTCACCCAAATACGATCACATCTGACCCCAAAACAACACGGGGATGGCCAGAACACCACCCACACACTGTAGGGAAAAATCCAAAGGAGGACAACATGTTGGCTACGTCAATCACTCTCTGTTGTTAAAATATCTTCAAAGTTTTTTAAGTGTGTATAATTTGAGAGATGTTTTCCTAGTATGCCTACATTTTGTCATCCACGTGTCTTTTCTTAATCTGCTTTAAGTTGCGCTCTAAGGGCCACAATAGAAGATGGATAAATAAAAAATAAGGTTTGAATGCTCCATTAGTTGAAATGACCTGAATGCTGACCTCGTAAACACAGTCTGTGAGATGACATTAGCCCCTGTCTCAAACATTATTAAGACTTAATGAAGAATTTCCTACAAGCTCATCTTTAATATCTAATTCCCAGCATCCTGATGTTTATAACGAGAGCAAATTCAGGAGCGCTTGATGTCAATTTCCCATCCTAATGAGAGTACGGATGTTCTGTTCTTTCTCTTCTCATGAGCAGACACAGACAGTGATTTCCTCGGGCTCAGCAACTCTTCCTGTTGGACTTCAGTACGCTCTACTTCGACAATCTGCCTCTCCTGGTTAATCTTTTAGACAAAGACAAACAAGCTTGTTTGTTATGTTGGCCAATCTTGTGTAATTATTAGAATGAGTAACATCACGAACATCCTATCTGACCCTTACGGACAGATGTTGAGCGTTTCTGTTCTCTGCCACATACAGCTGGGTTTTAAAGTAAACCCACCCTCAGACTGCTTCCCGTAAGCGATGCCATGTGGGTGGATGCTGTGCGGTCCCGTCGCCATGTTCCTGAAAGTGACCACAATCGTCTCGTTCTCCTCCGCCCGCAGGGTGGGTCCCAGCAGACCTGCCGAGAGAAGAAGACAGACCTCAGTTTGTTTGGTCTGTGTATAACATGTGTGTTCTGTTACATCATGATGACACAGCGAGACTAATGACGTGAAATCACACCGACTCATCTCTCTGTTACTGTTCTCCAGAATTTCCAGCAGATATTTAACCATCTTATGAACTGCACTCAATGAATTAATAGTTTACTGCTTTGTTTCCCTCTTTTGCTTCCCTATTTCTATAATACGAGGATTTATTATGTAACCATGTTCTCAGAAATAGCACTGAACTTCAAGATAGAGCAGGACACAACTTCGAGGAAAAACAGAATTTTTAACTTTCTGTTTTCTGTAAATGTTCGTTTTGTGACAGAGCTTCAGGATGCAGAAATTTAATTCAACGTACAATCTCGTCTTAAACAGATAACTATTTTCATGAATAAGTCTAAACTGGAGGTCAAGTTTCACTGCTACACTGGAGTTTTAGGTCCACATTAAAGACAATTTTAGATCTCTAGAAAAAATAACTGTGGTGTTACAAGGATGAGGTGGTTATGTTCACTGACTTCTTTCTGATTTGTAATACATCTTTTACAGCGTGATCATGATCAACCTACCCTTTATATTTTCATTTATTTACTTTGGTTTGTAGTTTTCCATCCATTTACCATAACTTCTCAAGGCTGGGTCTATTCTGTGTTTTTACTGTCTCAGGTTCAAGGCTTTTATATGAAAGAGGCTTCTATTAGAGGCAGAACATTAAAGCAATTTTCTCTCTTGGGGGCCTGATTCATAAAACCAGCCAAAAAGATGATGTGTGATTCACTAAGAACAAAGGGTTTTAAAGTATCACGAACTGCATTGGTGGGGAAACAGCTTCTCTGAATTCTGGTGATATTTGTATCAATTTGAATAATCCAGTTAGCATTAATTTGGACCACATTATACCTCTTTATCTCTGTAAATTATCCTTACTGCAAAAAATAAAGTTGATAAACTGTTGGAGTGACACTAACTGTGATTGAGTATGACGGACATTGTCACGCTCAACTCTCATGATTAAGAGAACAACTTCCCCTCTAGATGGCGCAAATATGATACATCCATACATTAGACTATCAATACTATGTTTACGCTGTTATTTGTTTATTCTAAACATCAGGAGTTAAATCAGAAATCGGCATCAGCATTTACAGACTTTCCTTCATTTGTTTTTTTAAAGCATGTGTCCCCAGAGGGCCACCGTAGGAGTATAGCAACTGTTATGACTGTACCCTAGCTGGGGGCGCACACATGTTCAATGAAGTTAAAACCATGGCTGCAGTTTTACATCCCATGTATTATTTTCTCTTCATTTTCTCATGGTCACAGTACCATTATGCAAAACAATTTATTTATTCAGAAAAAGATTTTTTAAAAAGACGCTTTTTGCTAATTTTTTTTAGGAGGAAAGGTGGTGCCAATACTTTAGTAGCTTCTCCTTAATGGGTTTTACCTGTTAGGGGCCCTGATATTAAGTCTGTTAAGAGGTGATTGCATAAGCATGCTGACTAATGACAATTATATTTATATCAACTCTATTCTGAGACATTATTAGCCAATTAGTTATATGGCAGACAGGATGAGTATGCCTTCGTAATCACAACCAGACAGACTGTGTGTTACCATAACGTGTATTTGCAATACTCACCTAACCATGAGGGATGGGTCTTAGCCTGTTTGAAGTCTTTCTCATACTCACGGAAAACCACTTTCTTATAGGTGGGACTGGAGGTAAAATACAAAACAATGAATCAACACATGAGGAGAGACACTGACATTTGTTCTGCACTGAATGTCAGGAATTTCAGATACAGGGTAAGTTTACTTATGATGCAACTGATGAGCGTGTGTCAAAATAACGCTGACAGTGTCCTCAGATAAAGCAGAAATGAAATGAGGACAGTCTGGACTACTTTCAGAAAGTACAAACAGATCCAAAGCAAAATCAGGCTGACAATGTCAATAAAAATATAGGAATACAACGCCTTAAAAAGATGTTTTTATCTAAATTTGGAGATTTTTTATTATTATAATGTGTCCTCCTTACCCATTAGAGTCAGTTCCAGAGTAGCTCCAGTCTATCTCAACAGCAGCGATGTAGTAGTGTCTCTCGTTGGGTTGAGGCGCCTCTGTTGAAGCTGATCTGTGTGTCACCAAGATGAGCAGGAGACATTGGGCTCCAGCCCAGAAACAGAGCCTCATGTCTGGGATCAGTCCTGCAGGTGAGCTGGGTCTGCTCTGGATGTGAAGAAGAAGAAGAGTGTGTGATCTGACTGAGAGGTCCCGCTCTGAGCTTTATCTGTCACAGACACACACGCATATGCACACGCACACACACACTCACTCACTCACTCACACGTCCAAACATCATGTCCCAGGGCAATGAACTGTCTCTGTATTTTCTCCACTGTCTCTCTGGTAATTAAAAGCTGCTGTGTTTGTCTGTGAGTCATTCCTGAGGGGCTCAGGGTGTGCTTCTTCCCATCATCTCTGAAAACACACCTACCCACTCACGTGCACACACACACACACGTACGCACGCACAGACACACACTTTGAGGATATGAATGTGGAAAGTTGCATGACAAATTTCTCTAACCTCAAACTTACCAGAAAACCATACCACAAAACAAAACATAATTTCTGATAAAAAAACAACTTCTTATGCAACAACTTATAGAAAAAGTCCAACAGAACTTGATTTGTACTTTGGAAAAGGTTAACACAACATCCTTCATTCTTATTCTTCATTAGGATTCCCATTAGCTCTCACAAAGTGGTTGCTAGTCTTCCTGCACATACAGAAATGTAATAGATGAAAAAAAGGTCTTTGTTGACAAAGCTGGCTGTTCACCGAATGCTATGGTAGCAGATTCATGGAAAGATGAGTGACAGGAAAAAAAGGGGGGGGGGGGGGGGTGTCCAAGCAACAGGGCTGAGCACAGTCTGTCAAACAAAGCAGATTCAAGAACTGAAAGGAGCTCCTGAAGTCTCACTTGGGCTGAGAAGAAAAAGGATAGGACTACTGCTAAGTCCAAAGTCCTGTCTTTAGATGAAAGTCAATTAAGCATCTCATTCAGAAATCAATGTATTACAATCTGGAAGGAGAGGCCTAGGATCTAAAGTTTGTGCCAAGGGCCACAAACAGTTTTCCTGGTTTCTGTGTTTTGCTCAATGGAAAGGTGAACTTCCTCCTCTGCAGCAACCAGGCAAACCTTCATACTTTTGTCTGACTTTATTTAAAAACTGACCTGGTTTACAAGCCAAGCCTCTGTACAGACTGGGCCTTAAGGCTTTAAAATTTTGTTTTTAATGCACTGTATCTTTTGGACAAGATTTTGACATCCACCGACTTAAGTAGGAGTCAAAGTTGGGCATCTGCAGCTCATCAGATTTGTAACACGGTACCATGTACAGCCAGCACATCTTCACTTTACTGTCCTCCCTTTGCTTATCAATGAAATAATTTTGTGCTGTTTCAAAACATTCTTTGGTATTTAAAACTCTTGCACTGTACTTGACCTTTAAAATGTTATTATAAACTGTATCTTTCACCCCACTGTAGTCTGTAATGGTCTCGTTACAAACAAGTGAAGAGAGTAGGAAGAGAGTAGGTGAGTTGTGTTTAGTCTCTTTGCTGAAGAAATCAGGCAAAGATACAAAGATGTTTGGTGGCTAGTACTGTGGCTGGGACCCTATATGTACTGTTGATGAAGTTAGGTGCTGTTCTGAGCATCATATGTAGCGATGGAGTGGTGTTTTGGTTGAGGTTTGTTGATGGCTCCTCAGACCGCTGTGTATTGCTATCATGCAGTCGTAACTAAAGTTGGTATGACTAGAGAATCAAGTGGTCGACAACATTAATCTCTCGAGGGGGTGTCTAACTGTGTTAAGGTGTGTTTGACCCCAACTTAAATTTACAAATATCCCTTTAAGGTGCACATTGTTGAATATGTGCCATTAAGACATAATTTTAGGATGATTTTCAAGTCAAAAAAGTTTATTTTATGATGTGAAAAGAGGTGGAAACTCACAGAAACAGTTTGAATACATCGAAACTGCGAATAAAAGACTACACTTGTGTTATACCAGGTTTCTCTTCGGACCGTGCAGCTCTCATTTCGGCTCGTTTAAACCTCACCAACCGCGTTACTAAATAACTCTTTAAAATATTTAAAATCCAGTCTAATGTAGCTCCCTTTCCTCGACTCCTGCTATCAGCTGTGTGTGTGCGGCCGCGCAAAGTCCGGGTACACCGGAACCAGTGCGTGGACGATGACGTCAACACGGCACCTGTGCGCCCTAGTACGCCTGCGCGGAATATTAGGGAACAGGAAGAGTTCATTGGGAAAACAATGCTTCAGTTATGCCTCTGTAGGAAGAAGAAAAACAAGTAAGTCTCACCTTTAAACTGCTTCATCTTATCTTATGCACGTGTTAGAATATTGTATGAAACGGAACAGGAGTATTTCATATGAACGGGGTGTTAACTCGCAGAAAAATGACAGATATGAAGGTTTTTAGCAGGATTTAGCTCCGAGCTCGGAGATGTTTCCGTTTGTTTACCTCAGTTTCTTTAAGATTACAAATGATGATCAAGAATCTGAAGACAGCGAAGAAAAGATACACGCAAACGCCATCATAGTGGATATTTTACCGTAAAAATCCTGGAAGCTTTTGGGAGTTTATTCAGTCTTGCCTCTCGTTCGTCAATAAATGTAAGAAAACAGTGAAACTACCTTCTGAATCTGTCTGATCAGAGGATTAAACTCCAAAAATGATGAATAAGTCATGCTCTCTGCTGCATTTACATTATTCTATCACTCGTTTTGCTATTATTTTCATTTTAAAGAGTTTGATATTGACCACCAAAGTGCATAATACAAAATCATTCAACTCCTTTCCTTTCTTACTCTCATAAATGTATCTGCATCTGTTTTGTTAAGACCTGACTCCTGATATGAAGGGCTTAAATATACAAATGATAGCTCAATACAAAGGAGGGGATGTGCTCTATATCACATAAAAGGTTTCATAATTGGAGCGTAAAGGGTTGAAATGGATCACTGGGTCAAATCGCTTCTTACATTCCTACTCATGTATGTTTTGGTGTTTGGTTTCAGTTTCTAAATCATGTTTTTTTTCCTGCAATATCAGTAAAAGGTGATTCAGCTCAACCTGCATAATCTGTTGAGTTTCTATATGGATGGAGAGAAACCCAAAAACTGAGGTGAATTTAAAGAGAAAGATTCTGGTAATATTTTTTCATTAATGAGCACCATACAATAAAAGTGCTGCTTTCATTGTCCTGTATTTTCTTTATTTGCAGGTTTTTATATCCAGTAACACTCTGGTTCACAGAATAATAATAATAATAATGATGATGATGATAATAATAACAAAGTACTTTGACACACAGTCCTAAAGCACAGAACATGGAAATAAAAACAAATAAAAAACAAAGGCTTAGTTAAAAACAAGGCATCTGAATTGAAGGCCAATTTCATTTGTCATAAGAAACCCAGACAATACAAGAAGTAAGTGAATAAACTTTATTTGTATAGCACTTTTCACGGACAAAAGAGTCACAAAGTGCTTCACATAGACAAAAATAAAATGTACATACAAATTAAAAGGCCAAGACAACAACATTAAACAGTCATAGCATTACCAAAAACAGTTAAACAAAGGCCTGAGCAAATAAATAAGTTTTGAGTTGGCTTTTAAAGGAGTCAACAGAGTCAATTAAGCGCAGAGAGAGAGGAAGATCAGCCTGGAAGGATCGGTCTCCTCTGGTCTGACATTTTTCCATGTTCCTAGCTGAGAATACTCCTTTTAATCCCAGTGTTGTTGCTGGATGTAGAAGAACCGGTCTCTCTGCTTTCTAATGTGATCTATAGATACTGAACCTTACTGACCTAGTTATTTAGATCCAAGTCCAACATAAACACCTTTTGTTTTTTTTTGATGTGTTGAAACAGGTTTAACTGCTCCCATTTCCAGTGTTAGCCATGGCGTGCTGCACATCCTCCTCCAGGCTGTGCTCCCGCTCCTCGGCCTACACTCTGGCCCTCGGTCTGGGCTTCGTAACCCTGGGGACAAGCCGCATTCTGCTGCTTAAATTCTCTGCCAATGCTGGTGAGATCAAAATGTTCATTTCTAAAGATTTGAGGAGAACAAAGACATATTGTTGACTCTGTGTGCTTTTTGTGAATTCACAGAGAACAAGTACAACTTCCTCCCTGCGTCTGTCAACCTGCTGGCTGAGCTGCTTAAGCTGCTTTTCTGCTTGGGGATGTCAGTCAGGGTGATAGTCAGAGGTAACATCAGAGTCATGGCTGCTTCATTGTGGTGGTGTGTGTGCTGTTGGAGTGTGTTAATCATCTCCTCTTCTGTTTCTCCTCAGAGGGTCGATCATGCAGCGAGTTGGGCTGGTCCTCCAGTCGATCTTTCCTTCACTCCCTGAAGTGGGCCGTTCCTGCTTTCCTCTACTTTCTCGATAACCTTATCATCTTCTACGTCATGACTTACCTGCAGCCCGTTAGTATATACTTTTAAAAAATACTTAAATTCAACTTAAATTCAAGGAGAATAATCCTTTTGTTTTACTCAGGCCCTTTTTTTATATTGTGGAGTTTCTGTGCCTTAAAGGTGGAGACAGTTTTGGGAGTGCTGACTCACACTTGTTGCTGACAGAGAATAAACAAACTGCAGATTCTTATCAAACTGGCTTAAACACAATTTCCTGTTTTATAGACTTTTTGCAGTCCTCGTGTTTCGTCTTCTCTCTCCTCTGTTTGTCTCTAAAGCTTCTACTCTTCCTCTCATCTCCAGGCCATGGCAGTGTTGTTCTCCAACTTTGTCATCCTGACCACAGCGGTGCTCTTCAGGGTGGTACTCAAGTAAGAGGCTTGATGGACAGCTATGAAATACTCTGTTATGTGCAATAAGAACAACTTCTGCTATTTAATGACATATTTATGAAACTGTTCACCACCTCTAATAGCATGTCATCACAGTTTACACAGTCTCCCATAATAGGAGACAGTATATTAACAACTGCTCTGACTTTCTATGGCATATGTCATGCATGTCTTTCTGTCATCGTGAAATATCCTCATTTAACCAGAGGACCTGTCTCATGGTCTTGTTGCACAGTAGACAACATCACAGAGAACATGACCGCAGCTTTACAGACATTATGGCAGAGTTTATGAAGGATTTATAATAATCTAGAATCCTGGTCATAGAGAATGATCACTGGAGTCTTTGTACACTCTGAATATCCAAATATGTCTATTAACCAAGGTTGAAATGTGCTCTAGTTGAAACTTCTCAGCGTGAGTGCGCCCGCTGAGACTCTTGGAGTTACCTGAACCAAATCAGAGGACCTGTGCATAAATTAACATTCATATATACACATTTGAACTCAAACTTCTGATTCTCATCTTTCCCATCAGGAGGCGTCTGTCCTGGGTTCAGTGGGCATCCTTAGTCATCCTCTTCCTGTCCATCGTTTCCTTGACGACGGGATCGGGAGCCAGCCAGAACGCCATGGCTGTGCATGGTCTCCATCCAAACCCACTCTCCACCCCTTCCAATGCCTGCTTACTCTACACACAGCTACTAGAGCAGATGAGGAACAGCAGGTGATATGAACGATGCAAAGACAGCAAAATATGTGGATGAAACTGAACTCTTGATTCTGGATTATTAGACGTCAATCAACAGCAAGCAGCAGGGGCAGAAAAGATCAGATGCACAGAAATGTTTAACATTCAGTGAGATAAATTTAAAACTTATCTGAAAAGGAAAAAAGAAAGTACCTATTACTGTGCATTGACATAAGTTTCTTCCTCCTCCTGCAGTGCGAGTGGATCGTGGATGTCCTCGCTGCCCGGACAGGCGTGGAGGGACCGCGTTGTGGGAAAGCTCCAGTCTTTCGGCGTAGGTCACATCCTGCTCCTCCTCCAGTGCTTCATCTCCGCCATGGCCAACATCTACAACGAGAAGATCTTCAAAGAAGGAGACCAGATCACTGAGAGCATCTTCATCCAGAACAGCAAACTGTGAGAGAAGATTCGTGATGAAAACACGGGAGGAACAGCTCAGTGGTTTTTAAATCCTGACTTCTGTCCTGTGCTGTGTGGCTCTGCAGGTACGCCTTCGGTGTGGTGTTCAACGCTCTGACGCTCGGGCTCGGGAGTGAAGCTCGAGGACTCACCGTGCACTGTGGCCTCCTGCATGGACACAACATCTACTCCCTGGGTCTGGTGCTGGTCACAGGTGAGCTGACGATGGACACTTTTAAAAATACATCTAAAAGATTTGGTTTATAAAGATTCTAAACCATAAAGTTCAATTGTTTTTTTTTTTACCGATGCCTGTAACTCTGATTTTTATTTGAAACTAAAACTGGTTAATCAAAGCTGCTGTAAAATTTTGTAGAAGCTTTAATATATAGATATAGATATAAATATAGATCACGGTCCAGTCTGTCTGAGAAATGTTATAGGATTCCTGTGTTTTTTCTTATGTGTCTCTTTTGCTAAACTTTGAGTTTAAATCAGTTTCCAGTCACTTCCAGTAGCTGTCAGGTGTGATACTAAGAAAACTCTGATCTTGCGTATCTTGTATCCTACCTTGGCGCCTGTATTTTTAAACACTGCGGTGTGTCTTCTCTGCAGCCGCCCTGGGTTTATCTGTGGCCTTCATCCTGAAATTCAGAGACAACATGTTCCACGTCCTGACGGGTCAGATCACCACAGTCCTGGTCACCACCATCTCCCTCTTCCTCTTCGACTTCCGGCCTTCGCTGGACTTCTTCCTGCAGGCTCCCATGGTCCTCCTGGCCATTTTTATTTACAATGCCAGCCGGCCTAAGGACCTGGAGTACAGCCTGCAGCAAGAAAAGCTGCGAGTGGTTAACGGAGAGGTGTTTGAGAGGTCCAGAGGGGTAAGAAATCACTCACACTCCTCTCCTCTCCTCATGTAACCTCCATGAAAAGCTCCCTCATCTTTAAACACACACAGAGTCTCTGTAGGAAAACTTGGCTCTTATTCTTCTTTAATATGATTTCTTCCTACAGGGGAAACCTGATTCTCTGCTTTGAGAGCAGCTTTCAGACTTTCAGCGGAGACTTAGCTCTCATAATTTCATTAGATGAATGAGGAGGATTAGGCTGTCATAAAGGAAGCTTTTAAAGTGTGAGGCTGTGTGAGGACACTGTCCCGGACTCTGCAGGACTATAAAAGAGTCAAAATGAGGGTTGGGTGAATTAAAAAGAAGTCTCTGTTTGTCCAAAAATATCATGTCATGTAAAAAGTGCTTTTTATTTCACCTTCCTTAATACTCACCTTTTTGGCGATTGAGTTCTTGCTATGTGAAATCTTTGTAAATCCTGCCTTTTGCGTTTGCAGCTTTCTGCATGATTCTCTTTATGTTTTGTGCTGCAGGACGGAGAGGAGCTGGAGCTGCTGACAAAGACCAACACAGACAGTGAATCTGAAGAGGAGTCTTTGTAGTCGACTGAAGATTCTTATTAACCCGCACAGAGGACTTCCTCACCCGAGCAAAGCAAATGTCTGAGTGTTACAGTGACTGTCTGCAGGTAAACAGCGGCTGATGCTGAGGATCAGCTGTGTGATGACCACTTGTTGTTACGAAGGCTTGTGTGTATATTTTGAAATGTGCCTGTCTGTGGAAAAGTGCTTCTTTTTAAGTATGTATCTGTATTTTTTAAACCTGGATCGTGCGTATTTTGAGGTCTGTGTCAGCGAAAGGTGGAATTGACATTGCTTCACATTTTTAGGCGGATGCATCGAAATCTCTGCATGCACATGTGTATAATCGAAGTGCAACAAATAACATCTTTGCAACAAACATAGCTCTCACAGAGAGGTGCCAGACGTCTATGAGAGGAAGCTTGCTGAACACAGGAGTCTATTTCTGCAGGGATGCTTTCTGTAAGGTTGTTAGACACTTTTAAATGCAATCTGAACCTATCAGGGACACAAACAAGAACTTTTAGAGGACCATACAGCACATTTTGCAGCTACCAAGCCCAAACTTGGACAGTTAGACCTTAAACCGGACCAGAGGTTGAAAAAACCCTTTAGTGCAGAGGAGGAGACCCTGTATCTGCTGTTTGGGATCATTATAATTTCTTATTGATGGTTTGCTTTATGTAATGATTCCTGCTGTGTGTGCAGATATTTGATGACTCGTTTCAGACAGTTTTATGATTGTAGAAAACTTTGCAGTATTTGAAAACGTCGTTCAAACTGTGCGAGGTGTTCATTTAGTGTACGGCCAATATTCAAACCACAGCATAAAACACATGCACAAACTCAAGCTGAAAATATGACCATGTAATTGTAAACTGTACAGTATCAAGCACACACACACTCAGACACACACACACAGCATTGCTGTTATATAACAGTGTACAGGGCTTCTAGTGTGTTTACTCAAACGTGAATAAGAACCATGAGCGCAGATGAAATGGAAAAGTAAGATTTCTTGGAAGCACAACAAAGCTGGCTCGGGTTCTTACCATGCCTTGAATGTTTGTCCATCATGTAGATTTAACTATTTGATGTATACAGACTGTGAAATACTTAAAATACAACCCCTAATCCTTAAGGAGCTGAGACACTGTGTCAAATGTTGATAAAATAAAAAAGATTTTGATGGTTTAAAAATCAGTTAAAGCCTTTATTTGATTGAAAACAGACAAACGTAGAGACTGAAAAATGTTCATTTCATAAAAATACGTATCTGTTTTTGTTCATGTTGCCTCACTTTCTCAGTGCGTTGCCCTATTTTCAATCAATCAAAGGCTTGAAATGATTTATGAACCATCAAATTCAGTTTTATTGACATTTAAAACAGCGTGAGGACTCTCGCAGAATTGGGTTTGTATAATTCTTGGACAATTCCTATTGGTGCCATAAAGTTAAAACATGTATGAGTGATCATGTTCTGAATCAAACTGCAAATAAAGTGCGTTCAATTTGTCTGAAGAGAGCTGAATATTACGTCTCAGTCAGTCTTAATAAACCAGAACAAACGTCAACCAAATAATTTTTTGTACATCGTTTGACCGCTAGGGGGCGATGTAGCTCAAGTTTCCTCCACAGTACAGTACAGCAGACTGAATCTCTTCATGTGATTGTGACGTTCTGCACTCAGAGCAGGCACAGACTGGTGGTAAACAAATGTTTATTTGTCATATAGCACAACAGAGTATAAATAAGAACATCGTATAGCAACAGACACTTTACAAAAAAGGAAAAAAAACAAAAACATGACAGCCCGTTTCCATAAAATAACTGATTACTGCACCTCAAATTCAACAGAAGTCCAATAAATACAGAAACGTTTTATTTCAGCCTGTTATATCTACAAAATAAAGGTCTGTGAGGGGAAAAGAAGGTGAAAAAAAAACACTTTTACTTGAAGTCGGGAATCACAGAAGTACACTGCTGCCATGCCTGAGTAAGAAAAATGACCAGAATCACATTTTAACATGTAAAAGTCAAACTACAAGATGTTTTAGAAGTTATAAAAAGATATTTTTAAAAAGAAAATCTAAAAGGTGTCAGAAAGTGTTCTTGTAAAAACTATGTTTCTCATTGAACAATTACAATAAAATAAAGACAGGGGCGTGTCCAGACTGTTTGGACTGTGGTGGCCAGCTGGGGCGATGACTAATGTCGGGGTGGATGGGAAATGCACACACACATGAAAAGCATTGTTACCCAGCTGTGACAATCCTTAATTCTGATTGGTCTACAGCAGGTAACTTTGGCTTTTCATGTATGTGAGTTAAACAGAGGGCAGACGTGTTCTCTCCACCTCAGACTTAAGCCTTTCACATATACACATGGAAGAGCAGGAAGATCTACCAATGGGTGTTTGCTGCTGCTCTTCCTGCCTTGGCTTTCTCTTTCTACATACTTACGTGGAAGGACAGTGAACTGTCAAGGCTAACCCTAACCCTAACCAGACCATCACACATAACTTATTTGGGGTATACAATTCTAATTATATGTAATTTTCTTTGACAGCAATGTAGCTTGAAGGTTTGGGGGGATTTGGGACTCCTGAATACCAAAATATGCTGTCAAAACAGAATAGTTTTTCCCTTATTTTTGTGCCATTATACGATAAAAAATATCCTTTAACACCTTGTAAAACATCTAAACTTCTTATGTTACAAAAAACAATTATCTGATTTTTTCCTTGTAGTGGGTGGCAGCAATACGCTCACCAAGCGTGACGAAGCCAGAGAAAAAAAAGACAATACAACAGATCCCTGAACCTCCAGGTTGTGAGTGTGTCTCTGAACTTACTGTGTTACCTCAACTGCAGCTATAATGAAGCTGAAAACGAAAGAAAAGGAACGGTGAAAGCAGCCTTTCACTAAGTGCTACAAAACAGTCACAAACCTCATTTCATCTGACTGTGAAAATAGAAAAAGGTAACTGGTGAAGGGAAGACGCCACAAACAGGCTGAAGTGTAAAGGAGGAGCTAATAGCCGTATCCTTGGTGGTACCCATCCTGGTAACCGTGTTCGTACCCGTGCTGATGGTAGCCGTAGCCTCCGTACTCGTCCTCAGGGCAGCGCATACCCAGTGACTGCTGGATGGCCATTTCCTGTCGGCGCAGCTGCATAGAGTCCACCAGGTCGTAGATTATCGCCATGGACCACATGGGCGAGGGGTACCAGGACTTCACATTTCCGTCTTTCCCCACCAGCAGCATGGAGAAGTACTCCGGGCTGATCTGGAAGTAGTTCCTCATGTCCTTCACCAGCATGCCTGACAGCCCTTCGCGCTCCACAGTAGCACTCCCTGAAAAGATGGAGCAGATATTCAGGTCAGAGACGAAGTATTTAGGACAGTTATTTTATAAATGCAGCCTCAAGAAGACAGCATTGTTTTCTTTGACATTTTTGTGTGTCCACATGCTGAGCTTAAAATGTCAAAAACAGAAATGTCAGTAACTCCGGTCCAACAGCTCGTGCTTTTGCAGTCACTCAAAAGCATGAGTCATTTCTCTTTATTCCCAAGAAGTTTAACGCCTCATTTCATCGAGAAATCTCTTGAGAAACACATACCAGGTCACACGAAATGAGAAAATAATGTTTTGATTCTGTGTCTTCTGGCTCATCAGCGGCACACATGGTCCTGCAGCTGTGAGGTTTTACAGTACGGAGAGGTTACGTGTTCACAGCAAGTCTTTGAGGTTTCTTTTGGGACTTGGCAGAACAGTAAGTACTCCTCTAGATGACATTTTTAAACCCTCTGCCTTATTTTTGTCCAATCTTGAAAGGTGGGAAGGTACTGAAACGACAATCCCCTCTAGTCCTACTTTCTGTCGGCGTACAGCCCTAAACTTTAATGATTTAGGAGGAGAGGAAAGAAGAGATGGCACTGAATCAATCACTTCTAACCTGATTTTATTTGATCGGTACATCCAGACTCCATCATATGTATGTAGAGTCAAAGCATGCTCCACAGGCTCACTCCAAAAGGGAAAAAACAGATCTGGCTTTTGCTTTGAAAAGCATTTCAGAAGTGTATTTTTCTCATTCGTGTGACATAAACATCGCTGATCCAGAGCAAATACGGCCCTCAGTGAGTCATTTTTTTGTGTGTATTTTTGGCTGAGATCCACGTGCCGCTGACGGTCTAAACAGTCTAATCTGTTAACATGCACGCCAAAACATCAAGCCGTTCCAAGGCCATCACCCAGCCAACATGCTTCTTGTGTTAAGCGCCAGAGTAAGGCAGAGTCTGCTGTGGATGTGGAAACACAAGCAAACCAGGGTTAACTGTATTAAACTCTGGTCCTTCCTCCCTCTAACTGCTGCACACCTGAGCGCTATCAGGTGAGCAGCTGCTAGGTTTAGGTCAGTCTTTGGTTCCTTTATTTTTCTGGGAGGAGGTGTTGAGAGCACCATCCCATCTTTTATTTATGTTGGATAAGAGCTCCAGTCCTTTTAGTTCTCTATTTTTGCTTTCTTGATTCTTGAACCCTTGGAGTTTTCTTTCATAGTTTCATTCTTTCAAGTCTGGGGTTTTTGTAACCCCAAAAGTCTCAATCGTTTCAGTTTGCCTCACAGTAGCAGACCCTGCAGGAATAAACTAGATACCCTAACCCTTAAGGCAGCAATTTAATCCTGAGGGACAAATGTGTTGGATCAAAGTGTGTCCTCTTAAAAATACACCCTGTGGCGGCCCTCCTGTCTGGGCAGGTCCTGGTGGGTGGAGTCAATTAATGAAACTGGGAGCACCTGGCTGGTCTCCCAGGAGTATTTAAGACCAGACTTAAGCCCAATCCCAAACCACCCCCTACACACTCGCCCTTCACTACCTAGTGTCAGTCGTAATGAAGTTACATTCGCAACTATGGAGTGCGCCTCAATTGAAATGGGAGGGTATAAACAAGATGGGCGGGTGTGGGACGCCCTCCTCACTCCACCGGAAAATGGAAAGATTCATTGCCATAGCAACATAATGACGCGTCCTGTGCAAGGCAGCGCTTATTTTCTTAGTAAGCGGACATTGTGTACAGTTCTCATTGTGCCTCATTTTTTCATTGTCCCAGTGAAATCATAAATCCAGCAACCATCAGAGTGACAGGAGCTAAATTATACTTTTAATTGTTAGTGATTCCACACGTCTTTAAACCCCATTACTACTTGACATGTGCCTGACCAATCAAATCAAACGTCAGCACAGAGTAAGTTTACCGACTTCCATTTGATCTTTCCAAACCATGTCTTCTTATTTTGTCAGTAAGACAAAGGTGGACACATGTGGAACTTATATTTGTATTTTGTTTCCTCCTCCCTAATTTTTGCCGGCGCACTACCTGCAAATCCTGTCGTGAGTGCGCATCGGTGCAGACTCGCTATTGAGGGGTGAACAGTCCACTGGCCCTCCGCACTCTGTGGTTTGGGATGGCCTTCAATATGGCGGAGAGGGAGAGTGTGTAGGGCGAGTGTCTAGGGGGAGGTTCGGGTTTGGCTAACACATTGCATAACTTTTGCACATTTTGGTTAGTTAATTAATTAAATAAATCCTTCCTTTCTTCAATTTAAACTGTTTGTCTCCTATTTTTTATCATGGCTCGCAAGCTAAGTCGTGACAACCCTGAAAGAATTAACACCACTGGGTATTTTTTGGTGGTAAAAATGCAACAAATGCAGGATTATACTTATCATGCATCTCTGGAGCATTTTCGTTTCATTTATATCTATTTATCATGTTTCGAGATATGTAAATAATTCCCATTTGTACACCTTAAAAGACCAGATTCACATTGGATCTTAGATTTGCTGTACCATATCACAGATGAGAAAAGCCAGATGGACACTTAAATCTGTGCAGAAGGATTCCTGGTTTTGCAGAAAGGGGTTTTTTATGAGGTTAAATTTTTGATATTAGCATTATTAAAAACATCTGTTTTATATACTAAAGCATGCATAGTGAATGTTTCTCTTTAGTTTTGGTCTAAACATCCAGTAAAATAAAGTCAAGTGTGCTCTTGTAATGCTGCTATGTGTTCTAACCATTAATAGGATACAGCTCCAGGACTCCACCCATATCCAGTATCTCCGTGCCGACCAGCTTCAGGATGGCGATGTGCCTCAGACCTGCAGCCATGAAAACAACAACATATCAGAGAACAGCAGGAATATGACAGAAAAGGCTGGATCTCAACAAGAACCTCATGTCCACACTGTTCTTCATTCAGCAGACCTCCTGCTCTTCCAGCTGATTTCTCTATTTGTTTGTTACTCAAACCATCCCGAGCTAAAGGGGGTTTAGGTGAAGGGAGCAGAGCGTGGTGGTCCGAAGAGTCCTGCCAAAAACCTGTCTCTTTTCTAGCAAAAAGCCCACATTAAACACACCAGGACCCAGACTTAAGAGAGAGACAGAGCCAAGTGCTGACTACCAGGATCAAACCTCAGGAGGCTTCAGTCCAGTCAGCAGGACGGGTCTTTGTCTGAGGAGGGAGGGAGGGAGGCAACAGCTCACAGTGTAAACCCAGCCAAGAGCAACAAACCGAGGGAAAGAATCCTCAAAGATTCTGGTCTGGACCTGCTGATAAGCAAGACCAGCTTCTTTGGGAGTTGTCCCATGACTTGAGGTAAAACAGTGTGGAAACAAACAGATATCACTGCAGGTTACCACTCTAAAAATAAGACTTTTTGTACAGGGGACTCATTGGGAAGGGTTCAGGCTCAATGAATAAACTGTGAAGGCTTTAAAAATCAGAGTCAGTGTATGCTGGTCTGTCATCCAATCATCCAAGCTATGGTTCCTTTAAGAGACCACATTAAAGGGATATTCCAGCGTATAATTAGGTTAGGGTCAAACACACCGGAACACCGAGTTAGACACCCGTCATAAGATGAATGTTGCCGACCGCTTTCTTCTCTAGTTATACCAACTTTAGTAACAACTGCTGACCTACTTTATCATTTCCTTGAAGTAATAATCATCATATTAATCATTTTGAACTGCAGATGAGGTAGTTCTTCTGCCTTAGCATCTCTGTCTGATTGCATTTCCATGAAGTAATAATTATAAATGTTCTTCCTTGAGCTGCGTCACCCCGCTGCAGTCGATGGACTCAGAGATCTCTGTACAAACAAGTGGCTGCTGGAAGAGAGTAGGTGAGTTGTGTTTAGTCTCTTTGCTAAAGAAATTAGGCAAAGCTAAAAAGATGTTTGGTGGCTAGAACTATGGCTGGGACCCTATATGTACTGTTGATGAAGTTAGGTGCTGTTCTGAGCATTATTTGTGGCTATAGAGTGGTGTTTTGGTTGAGCGTGTGACTCTCTGTATTGCTATCTATGGTCGTTACTAAAGTTGGTATAACTAGAGAAGCAAGCGGTCGGCAACATTCATCTCTCGACGGGGTGTCTAACTCGGTGTTGCACTGTGTTTGACCCTAACTTGATTTTCCGCCGGAATATCCCTTCAAGAGCTGTCGGCAACTGAGGGCTAAGATGAACAACGTGTATCCTGCCATCATCAAACTATAGTCACAACTCCACAAATAGGGTCTGCTAAAAATGTCAGAGGTTTTAAACCAACAAATGGAGACTCAGATGCTACTTTCACCTCTTCCATACATGCAAAATAAGTTTAAACTGCTTAATTTTTAACATCAAGACTTCTTGATCTGATGAAATGAAGTCTTAAACTTTCATCGTAACAGTAAAATGGAATAAAACTTACAGAACTATCTGACATATTTACGACTTTGACTCTTGCACTTTCTTTAAATATTTCCTGAGAGTGTTCAGAGAAGACATAACAGCCGAGTTGAAATGTCAGAAATCTTGAATTCATCCAAACAAGTCTGTAACAGGAGGGAGAAACTCCACATGAGGGAATTTATTGGGTTGAACAGAGGAGCCAAGTTCGCCAAGGCCTTTTTTTATAACTTCACATTTATCTGACATAAATCTGTCCGACACGTCGGCTGGTTAAGATCTGCAAAGTTTAGATAAATGCCTCTTTTTGAGATATACAGTAATAACATTTAAGTAACTGTGGAAAAGTTGAGTAACAGGCTCGCTGAAAAGGCCGTCGTCAGGGGAGAGAAGGAGCTTGTTAGCTGCAGACAGAACAGAGCGGCTCTTTGCCAGCTCTGTCATCTGGGATCCTTCTGCACATTTACACACATACACAAACACACCGTGCATGCAAACACACACACACACACACACTAATGTCTGGAGAGTTGCAGCAAACAAACAGAGTCTATTTTATCAACTTCTTGATGTGATTTACAAATTGTTAAGTGGTCTAATACTTTGGCAGGCAGTGAGAGGGAACATGCCAGGGTGAAATTAAAGGGCAATTCAGGTATTTTAAGGTCTCTGTGGAGAAGACGCAGAGGTGGAAAAACACCAAAACAGATTTGGCGAGCCCTCCAGAAGAACCAACACCAGTACATTACAAACATGATCCATAGTAAGTTACAGGAGGAGGCTATAGGTGTAGTGTTGCAGCCGCTGTAACAACAGTTTGTCTCTGAGTGTTATGGCTGTGTGTTAAGCTCCAGCCAGTCCTGTTTGGATTAAACCTGGGTGTAACTTTTATGCCTCGTAAAGTCAGACTAGTCAGCCTTATGATGGTCATATGAACAGAAAAATATCACCAAGAGAGTGTACTCCACACTCAGATATGACTTTAACTGTGAGCTGAGTGTCAGGTTAACCCTTTTTGAAGTAATTTAAAAGCTCGACCCTCAACCTCCTGTCATGATATGTTCTGGTTTTTAGTTTTTCCCTGTTTTTTTGTTTGCCTCGAGTGTATTTTCATTGGGATTTTCACTAGTGTTCCTGTTCCTCTGTAGTCCTGTCTTGTGCGTTTTATTCTTTATAGCAGTTTTCAGTGTTTCCTGTTTTATTTTGTAGTAGTTTATTCCCTGTTTCTAGTCTTGTTTTACTTCCTCAGTTTTCCCTCCTCTGTGATTGTCTTCACCTGTGTCTCAGTGTCTCACCTGCCCCTCTTTGCTCGTTTCCCTGTGTGTATATTTAGCCCTTGTCTTCCCCTGTTTCTTTGTTGGTTCATTGTGTGTGTTGAAAGTCTGTGTGTCTGTATGCCAGTGTCCCCTTGTGATTTTTTTCCATGTGTCTTTTGTTGGATTTTGGATTTTTGGTTCTTCTGGATTTGGCCGCTTGTGTTTTTTGCCTTTGGGAATATTCCTGTTGGACATTCAAAGTAAGTTTTTGTTGCTTTTTATTTAGTTCATTTTGAATAATCTTTTTTGTTTCTGCATTTGGGCCCTTTCCTTTTTGCTTAACTCAAAACCGTGACACCTACAGCACGTATCTACTCCAAGGTTTTTATGTAGGTTACATGAGGCCAGTGAAGTCAGTGCCATCCAGTCTTGTAAAAGTGAGGGGAATCTCTCAAAGTCGGTGATTATGCTGCCTGTAATGCTAGCATAAACAAGTCACTCCTATCACTGCATCACCACAGGGGGGAAATTCATTTTCCAGTCTGTGCAGAGGCCTTTTCACTTCATTCTCAGCAATGCTAGGCTGGAGGATGACTTAAGTATTTGTGTATAGGTAAGGAGAAATCTGCTTTTCATTCTGTGGGACCTTAAAGTAATTTAGACTCTGTGGGACATAAAAGTAAGCTTCATTTAAAGGAAAAAAAACATCAGAAGATGATCAGAGCAGGTTTTTTTTTATCAAAAAGCACAAAACTATTGGAAGCAGGAGATGATAAGGTTTTGGTCTGCTGCAGTCCCTCAGAAAATACAGCTGGCTTATAAAAAAACAATAAATCAGTCAGGATTAATATCCCTTCTGCCAATCTGGACTAACAAATATGATTCATCGTACAGTCACTGCATTAACGATTTTGACATTTTCTTTTCGTGCCGGGCTGTTGGGGAAGTAAAGCTCTCTGTTCTGTTTGTTTGTTTCTGGCAGCAGAAACAGGAAATAGTTTAGAGCACAGAAAGAGCAGTGAGAGCTGAAAACACAGAGGGGACTGAAAACAGCTGCAGAAAGTAGGAAGGGGAAGGAGCGATGCATCGAGTAAAGGCAGACTTTCGATTTAAAGTGGCTCCACAGTCTTGCAAAAAACACATTGACAGAAATAACAAAAATCTAACTTAAAAAGAAGCATCTGTGCAGTGAAGTCAGTGAATTGACCAATCATGTGTTAGTCTGACTTTGCAGTTTGGCTCACCAAGGTTGCAGGCCTGGCTGGTGAGGGCGTAGAGCTGCTGCTGATAGGCCCACTCCTCATCGTTGGGCGCGGAGATGATGAAGAGGCGACGTCTCCATCTGAACCTGAATCACAGAAAAAACATCAGCCTGGATATAAGAGGCACTTTGCTGCAGCAGTGAAAACTCAGTACGAGGACAAACACTTTTATACATATTCCAATAATGTTACTGCTAAAAGGTTACAGCCCTGAAATTATGGTGAAAAACCCTGCCAGATCATGGCACTGATCTGGAGCTGAAAACCACATCGCCATGGCAACAAAAGAGCACCTTTCTGCTTTAGTCATCCGAGTGAAACGTGTGATTGCAGTGATTCAGCCTTGAGCTGCAGCGGGGGCTGATGAAACTTTTTATATCAGAGGAGCGCACGCACACAAACAGGCTGCTGCAAACAAACCGCTGAACACTGCTCATGAACTCCATAAAACCCAGATTACTGAGCAAAGTGACAGACGCATGATGGAGGAGGACAGAGTCTGATGGGACCAGGACCACCCAAAAACTTTGATCGCTTCAACAAAAAGTCTAAAGCAATCGCTTTAATTCAAGCAGATCTGCTATTTTGGGTCCAAATACTCAGCAGAGGAAATCAGGCACAGACAGATATGAACAATAAGATGGATGTTAGTTGTTCAGTGCATGCCATGAGGGCATACTTTCAAGTATTGGGTTTGTAAAGCTGTAATTAAGTCTTTACATTAAAGGAAATTCTGGTAAACACTGCGCTCTAAATTTAAAACAGCATTTCAGGAAATCATCAGAGTTAACCATGCTCCTTTTCTTCAAACCAGAGAGAATTCAAGCCAGACTTTATCGCCCAACATCAGTCATCGACCTCACCCACAGAAAGAGAATCCCTGTGGTCAAGCGCCAAACTTTGTTGGGAATCTTTCCCAGGAGAGGAAGCTAGTACAAATATTTTCAAATTCATTCAAGGTCACAGTAAATTTCTGTATCTGCCAGCTTTTGTACCTGCAAGAGCATCACTTATAAAGGCTGTACCAGTTTTAGTCACACAGAAACAAGAAATTCTGTCATCTCACTTTATTTTTAGCCATTAAAAAAAACTACCTGATTATATTTGTTTTTAGGTTATAAAATAAATCAGCAGAGTGTATTGGTTATTCCCTCAAGCTACGCCGAACGACATTAGAGATCTCTAATGTGTTGACCTCTGTTATGTCCTGTACGTTGAATAACTATCAGGCAGCTACATGTGGAGAGAGGAGAACAGGGAGGGGAGCAAGAGGGTTAGTTAAAGAGCTGCAGCCTGTGACAAAATGTAAGCAGTAAAAGAGCTCAAATCCTTCAGCGTTAAAAATGAAATCTGGTATCTATTTTATCAAGTAAAATTTAGCCAAAGCTCATACAGTGAAGAGAAGAAGTGACACATTGTCTTTTTCTCTTGTTTTACTTGCTGCTGAGTATCAAAAATGTAAAAACAACTTTTACCTCGACAGGAAGTTCTCCAGTGACCTTGGCTTGTCCTCTTTCTTACAGACGACCCCGTCCCTCTTCTGCTGCTCCATCTCGCGGATACGAGACGAGAAGGTGTCGATGTAGTCGAAGACGGCCTTCATGGCGATGGGAACCTCGTAGGATTGCTAAAACCAAAAACAAACAACAACAACAAGGATCATCATCCGCTGCTGCATTTTTATCATCGTGGTGAGGCCAAAGGATAAACGGATCAATATGCCTGTGAGAAAAATGTTCTGGAGAGGACTCAGAGGTCATGGAAATAAAATTCCTCTGTTTGAAACAATGAAGAAACTGTTTCCAATAAAGTGATGAAGTGGAGGTTTGGAACATGATAGTAGATGTGGTGCAGAAAAGCCACATCACAAGCATTCCTCTTAATAACTTCTGGGAAGCAGTGCAAGAAATATCAGTTTAACATGACACAGAATTCAGCTAAACGTACAAACTCTGGAAAATCTCAGCGAGACGTCCAACACGGGCAGAGAAATGAACCGCACACACTTGTACACACTCGAACACACCTTCGGAGGATTTACTGACTCTGCTGCTCAGCTCATTTTCACTCTTTCACACCTTCTCTTCTCTCCTGTCTCTGCCTTTACACCCTGCAAACACACACACACACTGCAAACACACACATCCTCCACACACTCCTGTCTCTGCGTCCGTCAGCAGCGAGCGAACACTGGCCTCTTTGATGGACCCGTCCAAAAACAGCCAGGTGATTTCCCCTGGCTTGCGCACACACTCTCAGGTGTTGGGTAAATGTCATGTTGGGTGAATTAAACAGTGTTTTAGTGAGGGCAGTGTGTTGGCAGTACGAGTCCGGGTCAGTAAACCTTAAAAAAAAGAGGGAGGATGAAAGTGCGGGGACGAAAATACAGAGCAGAGACATGCAAACCAACAGCAGCGCCGTGAATTAATGAGAAAAACAACCCAGAAAGAGAAGGACTTTAAACCTCAGGCAGAAAGTTTGAGTGGGTTCAGGTCAGCAGCTCGACAGCGGTACTTTTGTTTTTCATTTTTCTGTCTTGTTTAGAAAGTTTTCAGACTAGTTCTCCCCTCCTTTTATTACTTGTAATATCATCGGTTATCCCTGCAGGGTCATTCAGAGCCCCTTGTGATGAGCGATTCCTTACCTTGACTCTCATGTCGTTGTCGGTGAGGACCATGTAGAAGTCCTCGTACACCATACTGAACTCTTTCCTCAGCTCTGTGATCAGATCCTGGTTCACCAGATCCTCCTGACGAAGACCTTTCATCGGTTTGTCATTTTCTGAAGGAAACGAAACACAAGTACACAGAGATGAGTTTAATTTTTTGTTTGAGAAGGCAAAATAAAACTATTTCTAGAGCAGTTATGACTCTAGTATCATTATGATTGTAGTTTAAAAGTTTCTGTAGAGCCGTAATGTTGCCTTGCTTATCGGTTATCCTGTGTTCAGTTACTTTTGTCTGGTTGCCACTGGTTTCACTGGGCTTGGGTCATGTGGGCACTGCTTTTGAAAGCCGGTAGGTTATATAAGGGGCGGTCTTACTTGCATTGGGGTGAAGGGGTGAGCTTAGGTAGCTGTAATTTTTGTTGACCGCGCTTTATGTTTGTTGTTTGCAATGATACACATCACAAAGTGTACACATATTCTATCTGATGTGCGTGTGTAATCAATGGCGACTGTGGAAGTGTTTTTCTTTGGGTGCTTCTTTGGAACAGCAGCAGCGTGTCACACAAATATACAGGACCTATCCTCTGCTTCAAGCGACTTTTACTAGGAAAGCCGCAATAGTTTCTTCACATCTAGTTCCTGTAATCCATCTTTCTCTGGATGTTCTGGGTCACATTTACCCCGATCCTACTCAAGGGCTCAACACAAACTGGATGATTTGAACAACACCTTTTTCAAGACTTGATCTAATCTGACATTTTCAGTCCCATCAGATTATTTCTTGATATCTGTTCTCTAATGTGAGAATGACAGCCTTTCACAAACTGTCAGCTCTCTGGATGAAAAACAACTCAGCAGTGATAAGTTTTTCCATCGAATCAACCTTAAAAACACAAACACAGTGTGAGTGTTCAGCTCCAAAACATTAGGACATGATGTGTTTTCCATTACTGAGCTCAAAACAATGGAGCTCTGAAAAATCTGTCTGACACGGTAAAGAAAAGGAAGAAAAAAAATCAAGGACAGACTCAAAGAGGAGATCCAGCGAAGTTAGAATATTTCTACTTTTACAGTAAATTACTGTAGTTGGGGTTTCTGCAGCCCAGAGTTAAAGCTTTTAATCACAACTACCAGCATTTAGGCGGCCGCAGAGCGCTGTATTTTGGTGGACGGTTCACCCACTCGGTGCTGAGTAATGTGTGCGAGCAAATCAGGAAAACCCCAGCACATGTTGGAGACAGCAGACTGAGAAAATATACGACAAAAACTCAAACATATTCCGCCTACGACACAATCTGCTCACCAAAAAACTCATATGAGGTCAGCTCAAAACTGAAGGAGGGGCCACGCTGAAAGAAGCGCTTGTTTGTATACAGTATAGGCTCACACACACTGAAACACACACTGAGACACACACACACACTGACCCTCTGGCCCGTGAGTGGAAGAAAAGTGTAACCGAGTCCAGCCATGAGTGGGTGGGTGTGGGCGGGTGACGTCGCCTCGGCACTTTTTTTTCCCAGCATTCCTCCGAGAAAAAAGCTCGTCATCATGCAGAGTGACAGACTAATAAAGGTTTTTAAAGTGGATTTAAATGTCCCGACATTCACACACACTCATCAGAGACTGTGGTCAGAGACGGCTGTAAAATGTCTCTGAATGTGAAGGAACAACGAGCACGAATTACAGCAGATGAAAACAGCTTTTTGTTTTTTTTTTCTCCTTTTAAAAAGCAGCTGTTTGCAGTTTAAAAAGCTGCTTAAACTGTGCACAGCCCTGACGGTTTAAAGAGGCATTCCAGTGTCTCTCAACCGAGGCCTTATTTTCTAACATATTTCAGATCTTAATGGAAACAAGTGCAACAGATTTTGGAATAAATCCACCAAACAAGCAACAACAAAACCTTTAATTGGCCAAAATTAGCCGACTTTAAAACGATTTAATGCCTTTTGTATCATATTTGTTGATACATACTTTTTTATACTTCAATCAAATCAATATGATCAACAAATTACTAAAAAAAAAAACACCTGAATACAGTCTGACAAATGATAAAAATGTCCTTGTAGTTTTTCAGTTTCCAAAAACATCTAATGTATCAGACAAGATAAATAAATATATTTGTTAAATTTTAAGGACATTTTGATTTTTGGGGGGTTTTTAGTAGTAAGTGAAATAAACATTTCAGCTCCAAAAAACTTGAATTTTTGGCCATAATTTGTGGTTTCAGGCATTAAAGGGCTATGTTACTCTTTCAGTAGTCTGGTGGGTTTAACTTATGGGGATTTTGCAGCTGTTTTAAATTCAAAATAAACTTTAATCTATAAAACTTAAAGTTAATCGCTTATTGCTATTATAGCCTGTTTTATATCCGTCAGGTGAGGCTATCTGCTTGAGAAATTCCCAAAGTTTTTATACCTATAAGTCATTTGGACTCTGAAAAGGTTAATAAAAGAGAACAGAGGGAGCAGGTACAAAAGTTCAGGAGCTCCGCTGTAGCTGAATCCAGAGAAGCAGATTTACCTCCCTGTTCAGGATGACACATGAGGAAGGTATGTTTCCTGGCAGTGGAGAGTGTTTCCCCTTCTTCCCATGATACATATGATACCGACCTTTTTTTTTAATCCGACAGCTGCTGATCTCCTCTTACATTCTGTAGGAAGACCCACACCCTCCCATTAAAGTATAAAAGTACAATAAAAAGTTAGGAGGACGTGCTCATTAAAGCCGTAGCAGAGGAGTTCAGAGGACTGTGAAGCTGGCTCGCTCTGAAATCACCTGCTCACGGAAAAACACAATAAGAAGGACACAATGCTGTGGTTTTGGCAGAGTCGGAGTGAATTCTGAAAGTTATACTTGTAGCTGCAGAAAGCGTTTCGTTCTACATCATGTGAGGAAGGTAAAACAAGGTCAGGACAGGAGACGTGGCAGGAGACGTTTCCCCCAGTCTCCCTCTTAGTTTGAAGTTACACAATAAACCTCTTATGAATTTAAGCAGGAGCAGCGAGTCTGAAGCTTTGTGGAGTTTATGAATGATGCATGCACCACCCAAGACAAAAAGTCAAACTACAGAACCCCTCAAGTCCAAAAAAGGTGATCAGACGGATCGGACAGGGCGGTTTCCAACATATTTGGAAACATAAGATAATTATCTTCTGCATGTGTGCAAAAGATAATCAATTCCCACAACTCAACTGTCTTATGGGCATATTCAGATATCTAGTGTGCGCTGATGTCTTTGCATGATAATCAATTTTCAAATAAAGTCAAATAACCGACAAAAGTTAACCTTATGTGTTAAAGTTACACAACTTTTAAAAGGACAAAAGATTCTGCAAGCCTGAAAGATGAAATCACCCCGGTTTCATAAACAGTTACTCAGAGATTGTGCATGACTCAACAACTACAAGGACCACTGACGGAGCAGAGAGGGATGCTTTAGGAAAACCAGATGGGAGCTTGTTTGTGTTTCCATTTCTGTCTGAGAGAAAAGCTGATCGTTATTATGAAACTTCTTTGAGTCACAGATGAAACTCTTCTGAGGTTTTCCACTCCGCGATAAGGAGATTCAAACTGTGCGCTCACTCTGCATGTGGGGGAGAGACTCACCCAGCTGGTAGTGGTCGATTTTCATGGTGGAGTTGGTGAGGGAACCAAAGATGGTGATGATAGAGACTTTCCTGATGGCCATTTCACACACGGACTCCAGGTACTCGTCTCTCTGCTGAGCATACATGCTGTTCTCCTCACTAGGGGATGTTATCAGCTGCAGGGAGGGAGGGAGAGGTTAAAGTGTCATCTTTATGAAATGAAGAACCCACACACGCTCATCCACAGTGTGCCGCAGAGGTGGTGTTTACATTAACCTGCAGCACCGAGGAGGATGGGGCATATTTTCCCAGCCTGCCCACAGCACTGCTGTGATAAGAATCTCTGCTGGCTGAAAAACAGAGACATACAGTCTGCAAACTCACAGCTGTGCAACCTATCGGATAGCTGCAGGAAGGAGGCTCCACATACTTTATCCCTATTTATATTACATTCCAGTGCAGTTTGATGTAAAGCTGTGAATTTCTACTGCCTACTTTCAGTCTTCAGGAGCTTTGTTTAAACATGCTTTACGAGTGAATCTGACTCAACTTGGACTCTATAGGAGATAAAATGAAGATATAACTTAATGATCTGTGGCCCCAGGGAACAACAGTGCTTAAAAATTCAACGATAGATTACTTTTCTTTCTATTGACTGTACTTTTACCATAAGCTTGGTGCAAGAGGAGCTCACCTAAGTTTAACGAGATGTCGACTCTGATACCACAGTATCATCATCTGCTGCATCTCTCTTTCTCTTCTTGGAAGTTCCCTCCTTCCGCATAAGGCGGAAGACGATCCCCAGCGCCTAGGCAACCGGCGTCCAATCAAAAGTGCGCACCGAGCGCTCCGGCGTCTATCTGCGGAAGTAGATACGACTCACTCGCAAGCAGCATAGTCCTATTGGATTACTACGGTTACAATGCAGAATGCAGAGTGCAGACTGACGTGCGGCAACACGGTAAGCAAATGTAGCCTACTTACACTGAAGGGGTGAAAGTTTGCGTGCCGCTGCGTACCGGCTGTAAACCGCTGTTTGTTGGTGAGTTCGAGTTACCGCGGAAGTCAGAAGTCCGAGCTGAAAATGACGTCACACCCGTGTTACCAGCGTTTCAGTTACAAAGTCGGAGAAAAGCAAAAACGGAGGCCGGAAACAAGATGCTCAAATGTTTTTTTTAGATATAGCCACCTTATTCCGCCTCCGATTTTCCTTTTTTTTCGACTTGATAACTGAAACCGTAGATATATAAACGCTAGATGGCTTACGCGAGCTGTTAGCCAATGGAGACCGACGTCCGCGCATGGCGGCCATTTTGCTACGGGACGCTCGCCCACTCATAACATTACAGTCTAAGATGCATGTAGCATTTAAATAACCATAGATTTCTTAATTTTAAACCGATTTTCGAACGGTTTGTTTTATAACAAACCTCAGAGTTTTAGTTATGTTCCTGCATACTCAAGAATAATTTAAACCGTGGATTTTCATAAACATTAAGCAGATAGTTAGAGCAATAGCTATAGGCCTACACACACAACGCAGTTATTTTAAATCATAAAACATTAAATCATTCCATGTATGTTACATTAGTAATATTTCTATTATGGGGATAGCTATTATAACATATAGCAATAACATATATAAACATTTATTTTCAATATAAATTTCTGCCTCATGTTGACATTTTAGATGTTTTAAGAAACCAAACAGCTTGGAAATCTTGTGCAACTTGAGTTATGTTGAATCGAAAGAGCATTTCTGCCTCTCCAACTGATGTAAAATTGCTGGGCCAACTTTGTGACTTGGTCACAAAGGTACTTGGTCTCACTCACAGCGAGTCAAATGTTTACAGTCCTCTCTGCACATGTAGCAGAGGACAAATACTGGTCTGCATTAGCTTTGCTTGAAGATAAATGAAAACCTTTAATAGTCCTCAATAAAGTGTGTGTTTAAAGTTTCTTGAGAAATATAAGGCTACAAGTTTTAGTGGGAGGTTCACTGGTACATTTTGGACTAAGTCAGGCAAAGCTAATTGAATTAAAGGCTAGCTTTAACCTTGGTTTGAATGGACAGATATGATAATGTTATTGCTCAAATCAAAGCCCCAAGTGGTCACAGCACCTGTTGTGCACGCCTAAGATTGATGCATGCTGCAAAGTGGCCAGTTCCAGTATTTAGACGAGCCCTGGTTTATATCTGCTGGTCCTTTTAAAATTGGAATTTGCATCATAAATCCACTGCACTCTAATGTCCCTTTGTTGAAGCCTGAAAGAGCAGATCTATCAGACATTAGGGTTACTGAGTGTGTGCAGGGCTGTGAGTTATGTGTTGCTCTTACCAGCAGCCGCCTCCTATTCTCAAAGTAGTCCAGGAAGGAGGCCAAAGACCCTTTAGGAGGAGGTGTTGGTTTCTTGGTGGGCTTCGGATAGTCCTCTTTCTCAGGGTACTTGGACAACTTCTTTCCATTTTTCTTTCCTCCGATCTTTCCTGCCTTTCCTCCTCCTCCTCTCCTCTCAGCCTTTTTAGCAGCTTTGTCGTTCTTTTTCTTCTTCTTATCGTGTTTGTCGTGTTTGCCTTTGACTCTCTTAGTTGGACTGATGTCGGTGAAGGATTCAGTCTCCTCTGGATCGCTTACAGTAGGTTTGCTGGGTTCATACCTGTCCTCGTACTCATTGGATATCACCTGCACAAATGGATATGTTGTTATTTGAAAATCAGGTCCTTTTTGAAAATCAAGCCTGATTTTTAAAACAGCATTCAAACAAAACTCACCAAAAAACACAGTGTCTGTGTTTTGGAGGTTGTGGTCTCAGTATTTTCTACATTTTCTGGCAAATAAAATCAACTATTGAACAAAAAGAAATTTGGCAATGGTGGCCGATTTGGCAGTAAGAGTTACCAGTTAAAATCTTCATCCTTCAGAGATGGCACTTGAATTAAAATCTCTGATTCTGCAGCCAAATAAACTCTATTACAAGGAGCCAAATGCACATGCATGTCCTTGGAAACACTGGTCGAGTTATTTGTTCTTGTGAAATGTCTGCTCCTTCAAACACTTCTGAATAACACACGATCTGAACAAAGAGACGTGTTTCCTCTCTGAGTGGGTAGCTTCGTCGTCTCTAAAATAAAGTTTTATTAGAAAAAAGTTTTCATGGTCCAGTTTGAGTATTTTGTTACTAGACCTGGACCACTTTGTTGTGAATCACTTGGAATTGGATGTCACAGTGAAGTAAAGGCTCATAGAACTGTTAAAGTTGATGATTAAGTGTCTTCAGCACTAGTTGTGCATGTTTTGTGACCTTTTCAGTGTGAACGATGACTGACAAGTTTGATACCAAAAGTGTTGATGCTGTTGTGGGTTTTTGTGTACAACTTTCACAGATTAAACTGAAGCTTTTAGTCATTTCCAAACATACCAGAACAAACAAGAAATTTCTTTGTTCACCTTCTCTCCCCCGTTTTTCCTCTTGGTGGGTCTGACCTTGGAGGGTCTATGTATGGAAGGAACCAGTTTTCGTCTGTATGGGTCTCTGCCGTCCTTGTCAGTGCGGTTGTCTCCTGACGGGGTGGTCTTAGCCGGGTACCGCTCCCTCTCTCTGCGGTTGTAGTAGTAAGGGTCGACTGTGGTTCTGGGGGCGGGGAGCCACAGAGCAGTGGTCTGGGCTCTGGTTGGTCGCTGTGTGGTCATCATGGTCGTGGTGGGTCGTTTGGTGGTGGTTCTTCTAGTGGTGGTTGCCTTTGTTGTGGTTGCTTTGGTTGTTGTGGTTGCTTTGGTTGTTGTTGTTGCCTTGGTGGTGGTTGTCGCTCTGGTTGTGGTGGTGGGACGGGTCGTGGTTGTTGGGGGAGTAGTGGTGGTGGTGGTGGTTGTTGTAGTTGGGCGTGTAGTTGCTGTGGTGGTTGTTGTGGCAGCTGTGGTTGGTGGCTTTCTGAGGATCTTCTTGCCTGGTTTTCTCTCGACTGGAGTATCTACAGCTGCAAACACACAGAAGGACAACAAGGTAGATGTTTTTCCCCATTTCATTTGGGGTTGAATTAAAAGTTTTAACAGACACTTTTCGGTTACACTGACAGTTACCAAAGGAGTTCCTCAGGGGTCGGTCCTTCGACTTCTCTTTGTCATTCTTTAGATAAATAATGTCAAAATGTTTCTAATGCCTATTTTAATTTTTTCTGCAGATGACACTGATCTAAGGCTCAGCATCCACACCAGTCCTAGCTATTGCAAAGATGTAAACAGCTTTAGATACTGTTCAACTAAGTTTTATGATTTAAAACTTACTTTAAATGCAGACAAACTTCAATCAGGCCAAGTTACCACTGGTTGCAGCAATAATTGCAATCTGCCTTAGTAGAGCGCTTCAAAAACTACTCGCACTTGGTCTGATTAACTCCAAATCATTCAAAAGATTCATCACAAGTCAAAGTACACAATCACTCCAAAATTACATTAAAAGACAAACGAAAAATCAAGTGTGCTGTTCTTTGTAGAGGCTAACTGTTTGTAATTTCAGAGGGCCACTTCAATCCAATTTCCACTGAGTCATCATTTTATCACCTTCAACCTCAGAGGACATCTAGCCTTGCAGATGTTTTCTGCATTTGCATTTCTTTCTAGGAACAGCTTGTCCTTTATTAAATAAAAACACAAAACACATGGTTTTCTTCAGTTGAAACAGACCCAAAATGAAAACAAAGTTCTCTTTGGATATCACTGATGCTGAATTTGTTTAATGTGTATTTTCGCTTGGGAACACTCTCTTAAACTATAAACCAGTGAATCCAGATGTCTTTATTTCTCAAAACTGATGAAATGAGACTTAAATTCTGCAGCTCTGACCCTGAGGGGAAAAATAAGTCTGACTCCGTGTTTCCTCTTACTCTCATGATAATAAACAGGAAAAAAAATTCTTGTCATGACCCCTTTTCTCTCTTTCTCACCTGTGAGCGTGCCCTCCTCCACCTGGCCCTCCACACCGGCTCCTCTGCACTTCTGCACAAAGCCTTTCTGTCGCAGCTTCTCCAGCTTCCTCATGGGGGACTGGTCGATCACCTCGTACATGGCCTCCAGCCTGACAGGGTATGGGTACCTCTCCTCCACCTGCAGCGTCTTCTTCAGCAGCACCATCCCAAACTTACCTGCAAGTCAAAGAATCACAGTGTTTTTCAGAAAATAGTCAAAATCTGGTATTTCTTGTTTCTGTTTGTTTATTTTGGTCACAATGGGCCAATTTAGGACAGGTTTAGCTTTCAGGTGTGTTCTAGGAATCTTTATATCACCTCATGTGCAAAGTATTTAAATGAGCGTCACCTTTTTAGCTTTGCCTCTTTTCTAGTAAAGAGACTAAACACAACTCACCCACTCTCCTCTAGCAGCCGCTTGTTTGTACGGAGACCTCTGTGGAGTCCATCGACTGCAGCAGTGTGACACAGCTCAAGGAAGAACATTTATGATCATTACTTTATCATTTGCTTGAAGTAATAATCATCATATTAATCATTTTGCACTGCAGACGCGGTAGTTCTTCTGTCTTAGCATCTCGATCTGATTGCATTTCCATGAAGAAATGATCATAAATGTTCTTCCTTGAGCTGCATCACCCCGCTGCAGATGATGGACTGGGTGAGTTGTGTTTAGTCTCTTTGCTAAAGAAATTAGGCAAAGTTAAAACGATGTTTGGTGGCTAGTGCTGTGGCTGGGACCCTATATGTACTGTTGATGAAGTTAGGTGCTGTTCTGAGCAATATTTGTGGCTGTAGAGTGGCGTTTTGGTTGAGCGTGTGGCTCTGTGTATTGCTATCTGCAGTCGTTACTAAAGTTGGTATAACTGGAGAAGCAAGGAGTCGGCAACATTCATCTCTTGACAGGGTGTCTAACTCGGTGTGTTTGTCCCTAACTTAATTTTACACCATAATATCCATTTAAATCTTCATTTTTTTTCAAGCTAAGGATGAATTTCTTGGCTGTCAGTTTGTGGCAGGAGTGGATTATCAGTATTTTTTGACACTCTTGAAGCAGATTTTAAAGTTACCTGGCTTATTTGTTGCATCATTTCCACCTGGATACTACAGGTGTGTGAATATTGAAACACGCTTATTATTTGGCTTTTGTCTCAACATAATTTCCCTTTTTAATCACATGCACATTAAGAGTGCATTGAATCATTGTTTCTGAGCACTTTGGGACTTATGCAGATATCCCACTGGCAGCTCTGCAGTTTCACCCTCCAGTGTCATGCCATCTGCAGCTTATGAGGAAGTCTCACCACCCTGCTGTTGCTCAGGGTCAATAAGGATGACTAAAAATAGAGTTAAGACACTTCAAAAAGGGGTTTTAAGGCAGTTTTCCATCACCCCCTTCAGGATCTGACCTCACCTTTCTCCAGTTTGAGGAAGCTCATGAGTCTGGGGATGAGAGCTGTGTCCAGTGGCTCCTCCATCACCTTCCCCTCCGTTGTGATCCTCCTCACCTTGCCCCCCATCTCCCCCTCCTGATGAAACATGACGATCTGGTGGACGTGCCTCTCAGCCAGCTCGCAGTAAACTTCCGGTTTGAGTAGAGACATCATAAGTCTGTAGTATCCGTCTGAGTCATGAGGAGCAGAGATCACCAGGACGCGGTTCTTCCCTGCGAAACTGGCGAGCAGGTTGGGTGACCCGGCGCTGCTGGGCATCCGGGCCACCCTGGCGCGCGCTCCAGGGGTGCCCTCATCCTGCTGCATGTCATGCTGACGGGGCAGACCGATCTGTCCGGACACTCCTTTCCTTGGCACCGCTCTCCTGCCCTGCACAGTCTCTGACCTGTCGAGGTCTTGAGCGCCTTCATCCGCGTGCACATCCTCCTCCTTCTTGGCAGCGTGCACAGAGATAGCTGAACTAAACCCAGGGCGCAAACGGCCAACAAGGCGCTCCTTGTCCGTTGTGCCCAGCTGGACTCGCCCATGTCTGGTGCGTCTGTGCAGCTGCGCCCGCTGGAGATGAGTCGGTTTGTCCGCCTCTCCAGTCCATGTCAGCAGATAAAAAAGAGCCAAAGTGAGAACTACAGCCCCCCGCATTGTGTCGAGATGTCAGATAAAAAGTCACTCACTGTGAGGAGGATAAAGAGCCAGTGGCAGAGCCGCGATCCACGCGCGTCTTTAGTGCATCTGGGGTTAAAAATCAATTAATTCCAGATGAAGGTGTGCAGGATGTGCACATAATATTCAGCCAGTCTCAGAGCATGTCCTCAGCTGAAGAAATCCACTCCTCCGTCTGCTCTTTTTCCACAAACCAGGCGAATAAGAGCAGAGTTTACCGTGCGTAAACAGTTATATCCAAAACTTCATCTCAGCAACACTTCCGTTTTTAAGAAGCTAATAATCCCAGGAGATAAGCAGAGGATCTCATCTCTGTTAAACTAACATCCAAAACTCTGAAATATTTCCTCAAACCCCCCGGAGAATGGAAGCAAGTCTTTCGGCGAAAAGTTTGGACCACTTCACATCTCCAAAATACACTCAAGGGGACGTCAGGACGCTAATCACTTAATTCATCCAATTAATCCTCGGGCTTTGTTTATTCCCAAAAACTGTGGGACGATCTCCTGCGCGCAGGAAGAGGAAGGACGCACAAAATTTAAGAAATGTGCTCCGTGTGATCCTCGCAGGAGCTCTTCGCTGAGTCTGCACAGGGAAAAAACGCGGCTCTGCTTCTTCCCAGGTTCTCCTTGGCAGGAATGAGCGCTGGAGGCTTTCCCAGAAATGTCCACACAAACCTCCGGACTCTTGGCGACGCAATGGCAGGACCTGCCCCGGACTGCTCACTCTGCAACACCCATTTTACTGAGAAGAGCCTGTGCACTAAAGTTTCAGACCTCCTTTGCGCTTTATTGGTTTTAAGTTTCACTCAATCTCAAAATCTCCATCAACTTTCTTTAATCACACTTCTGAACATGTAGGGAACAGTTTGCCCCCGTGCTGGTTAAACCTCAAGGAAGAGAAATGACCACAATCAGATTCAGAGTTCAGTTCCTGCTTTAAAGCGGCAGAGAAACGCCCCCAGATCCGTCCCTGTCCACCATGATCCCCTCAGAGTGGACCGTTTTTTCCCATCCACCCCCAGGAGGCTGCTCCCTGTTTTGGTTCTCAGAAAGTGCATAGAAAGAGGAAATTTGGAGGAAACACAGAGCTGGTGTATATTTAAACTGAGAGACCAGCCATCTATATTGTGTTTAAAGTGAGAAACACAAAAATGGAAGTTGTTTTAACATGTTTATGACCAAAATGATATATTTACAATGACTGTCTTTCCCCTTTCATGGCAGCTCTTTGCTCTGAGAAAGTTTCCCCGGTAATTACAGCCTGAGTAAAGAAAAGTAAACCACTGCTTCTCAGCGAGCCACATCAACTCTCGCTGCAGAAAATACACTGTGTGTGGAGCTGCAAATGTTCTACATTTACACGTTAGTCTGCACGAACAACATAATGCCAAACCTAGATGAAACTTTTATGATTTGTTTCATCGTTTTGATAAGTGTGTCATAAACAATTTATGCACACAGAGGTCATGAGGAAAATACTCACAGCAGCCTTCAAAAACTGTCCTTCAAACTGAGGAAAACTCATGCAAATGTTCCCAAATCTACTTTGTTAACAACAAGAACAGGTAATGGTGATAGAGTAGAGACAGAAAGATGGAAAAGAGGCTAAAAACACATTCCCAGTTTCTTGTTATGCCACGTTCCCTAAGACAATTATTTCTAGATCTGGTTCAGATGGTCTCAAAGAGGCCATGGACTCCGTTTCAGATTTGTCAGACCTTTATTTTCTTGTGAGGAAAAAAAGTTGGTAGCCTTTCAAAGGCCAGATATGACAAGTCTAGGAGGAGGAGTTTTTTGATCAGGACCTGGTCTAATATGGTGTGGATGTGAAAAAAGTAGTGAAATTTCCCTCTTTTGTTGCGTTTTCTAAAAATGAGCATAGTGTTAGTTCAGGGAGATTACAATGTGAAGTTCAGCCAACAGCACATAAGCTGACAGCTCTGATGATTACCTCCTACACGTCCAATTAGCAATCGGATTTTTGTCTTCATTTGCTACACTGCATGTACACTGTATGCAATATTATAGGAACATTCTCTGGTTTGTTTTTTCTGCACGTACCTGTCACAGTTCAGATGCAACTCTGGCTTCAGCACATCTGGAAATACTTTTTAGATTTACCAGCTTTTCGTAAAGTGAGGCAGAAAATAAAGTGATTCAAAGTCTCCAAAATGCTGTCCTGTAAAAACTGCTTCAACTTTTAGCTCCAAGAGTCTTTATTCAAATTCAAAAGTCCTATAACCTCAAACAGGAGCAGGGGGATGTCAGCTGTTTATTTGCTTGGGTATAGGTTATGTATCGTAGTCACATGCATGTTTCCAAGGACAGTGAAGCTGCAGTTAAAGATCTTTCTCTGGATGATAAGAGCTTTAAAAAGGAGCTTCGAGCATCCTGCGTTCCTCCTGATGTCAGCAGATAAAACAGCTGCAGGACAGAGGAGAATGGATAATGTGATATCAGCACAAAATGAAACTCAGAAAGACTTTTATTTATCTTGTCTTTTCTTTGGTGCAGTTCTACATCATCAGCCTGACCCAGATCACTCACTGCGACATGCATCCTATTTTGGACTTTGCAGAAATCACTCTATTTGTCTCTGTAATTACATTCCCTGTGTGCAAATTCACTGCAGACCTCTTCAAACTGCACAGACCGTTCACTTCAAATGAGTGCAAATCACTCCCAGGTCCGCCAGCTGAAACATATATTTGACTTCCACCCGGATTGTTCTTTATTACAGACTTTATAACATTCAGACAAGCCGGAGAAGTCAAATAAACGGAGGTCCGAAGACTTCATAACACAGGAGGGAAGCAGATGAGTGAGCGGAGGATAAAACACGTGCAGCATGTGGAGTTCACATGTAAAACTAACGCTGCCAGCAACATCCAACATCAAGCAGGTCTGACAAATGATGAGTGTTTGTTCTTTTCACTGACGTTTACGGCATGCTGTCTTCTGATCTGAGCCTCTCTGTTCATGCATAAAACATGTCTGCTCTCATGAAACTGTAATAGAGCATGTTCAAACTGAGGCCGGGGTATTTTTGAAAACAGAGGATACCTTTTAAAAATGGGAGGAAAACCTGTTTATAGCAGAAATGATGGAGAGTCTCACAAAAGCACGCCAGAGCAGTAGGAGGCGACAATGTGTAAATAGTCTGTGATGACAACACAACATTTTGCACGTGCGTCTCCCACACTCCAACAACTTTCTCCAGCTTCTCCTTGGGGACGGCATTACCAGGCCAGACAGGAGGATACATAATCCCCACAGGGCGCTACCTTGAGGTCTTCTCCTTGTGGTGCCCGGAACACCTCCACACAGGGAGGCATCCTTATCAAATGCTTGAACCACCTCGACCACATCTACTCCGAACTCCTCTAAGCTTCTGACGTAGGACTTTGAGTTTGGCGGTGGTAAGGCCCTCGACATTGAGTTGAAGCACTGTTAGGCCTTGGTTTTCGATGGTCAGGATGGTTGCTCATCCGCCGTTCCTAGGTCTGCCAGCTCGACGTTTGGTTGGCGACATAAGTTTCACAAGTTGGTCTTGCACCATCTCTTGTTACTCACAGGGAAGGCCTCACCCTATCTTTGACTGATGCTGCATTCCAGTTACCTCGGAAGTCGGAGCTGGGAAGGACGTTACACTCAAGTTGATGGCGTTCCAGTTCCAGGTCAAAACAGAAGTGCTGATAAATAATACATTATGAGAGCTTTCACTGTTACTCTTTACTGTTGATGCACTGTGCTGCCATCTTGGATTATGACGTTGTCGTCAAGTCGTGGTTGGTGAGGATCGTCCTACTTTCTGAGTCAGAAATCCAACTTCAGGGGTGTATTCCAGATGAATTTCCGACTCGGAGCTCAGAAATTCCAACTTCTGAGTACAACTGGAATGCAGCATGAGCCTTCAGAGGAAGCTCATCATGGCTGCTTCTATCTCATTCTTTCAGTCCAAATCATAACCATGGAATGTAGATCGGCTGATGAATCGAAAGCTTTGCCTAAGTTCACAAAAAACACATGTAGACTGGATGGACAAATTCCCATTCCCCCTCCAGAGGATTTACAAAGATACAGAGTTCGTCCTCTGCACCATGGCCTGGAGAAATCCAGTAAACTTCCTCCTTTCATGCACCCTAGAGCAAGCCTTTCTTGAGAGGATTAGAAGCATGATACCCTGAAACACTTGACCCATATTTACCACCCTGGTCCACCACTCCACGGGAGGTTTAGGACAGTTCCCATGGAGTAGAGAGAATATGAATCTTTTAAAAAAACAGGAGTATTGATTGTTTTGTTTAAAGCATTTCTTAGTCATGACAGAATAAAATCTGCAAGGAGATAAGGTGGACTATTAACAGGTGGTGCCAAAATCAGCACAGGCCACAAGTTCACAAGCAAAGTTCCTTTATCATTGTCTCCTCTTGCAAGAAATTAAAGTTCTTTCATATGATGTACCAGGTTCATGGTTGTAGTTTTAGTATAGTTTAGTTTAGTATAGGTTTGGCACAGTTCAGGAAACATCGTTTTAGAAAGAACATTTCAGCTTTCCTGTACCGTCCTCAAGTCCATTCACATGCTCTGACATCCTTCACAGTTGAACCCATCTGTGTTTCACATGTTCTGTTCAAAGACTTCACGGTGAGTGTAAAACGTCTGAAACTTCACAGACGTCCTGAGCTCTTCTTCAAGATTTAGAGCTTCAAACATCCTCACGATCCTCAGAAGTCAAATAAAACTGTTCAGAGTGCAAGGACGAATGGCAAACCGCTACATCCTTAATTTCTCTAGTGGTGAATCAAAATCTATTTTGACCTAAAAGGTAAATTTGGTTTAATATTTACATAAAATACTTGTAGTTAAGTGAGTAAACAGCATCCTGTCACTCTCTGCAGACTGACCCATTTGAAACATGAGACCCTGTTGTGTCTCACTCCTCAGTGACATCCCGACCCTAATGAAGTTTTGTTG